TATTCATAAATCGAAGATGGAGAAAGTTCCTGATGGATGCCTGTGTAAAAAGGGGAGCAGATTGTGGAAGTGACCGTCATCTTCTATTTGGAAAAATTAAACTTGAACTTTGAAAAGGAGTCAAACAACAATACAAACAACACAACAGGAAAGCATATAACATCCTCAATCTTAGAGATAACAAGATATAAAAAACACTTAACATCAATTGCACCATACGTAGTAAATACAAAACATTACAAACTATCAATGAAAACAACGACAACATCGGTCCAGATTTCAATGAACATTGGAACAAAGGAAAACAATATAAAACGAAACAACAGTTGAGGTACTAGGAATTAGACACAATATGAAATGAAATGAATATTAGATACAACCTTGAATGTTATAGAAATCAGGAGATCCACAAAAAGCAAGGCAACCAGACAAAAAATCAGATAGATTGACAGAACAGTTACAAAAGGAATACAATACGTTAATTAAAGAAGTAAAGAAAAGGCCAGAGAGGACAAAATGCAGTATACTGAAGGAATTGTTAAGGAAGCAGAAGAGGCATGCAAACTAAGAGAACTTTGTACTGTTTATCACTAAACATTAATCTGGGAAAAGTACAATACCGTACAGATAAAAAAGATAGACACAACAGAAGACAAAATAGAAGTTGATGAAATAAAGAAAGCATGTGTTGAGATCTCAAAAAACATGTTTAACCGCGCCGCATTTTTGCGCCTGTCCCAAGTCAGGAGCCTCTGGCCTTTGTTAGTCTTGTATCATTTTTAATTTTAGTTTCTTGTGTATAATTTGGAGTTTAGTATGACGTCCATTATCACTGAACTAGTATACATATTTGTTTAGGGGCCAGCTGAAGGACGCCTCCGGGTGCGGGAGTTTCTCGCTGCATTGAAGACCCATTGATGGCCTTCGGCTGTTGTCTGCTCTATGGTCGGGTTGTTGTCTCTTTGACACATTCCCCATTTCCATTCTCAATTTTATTAAGCAAGCTGAAAATGAGAAATCAGCCAGAGTAGACAACACCAGGGCAGAATTCTTGTAGTCTTATGTAGAAACAACAGCATCAATACTACACGCAGTATTTAGTACAATTTGGGAGAAAGAAGTTATTCTGCAAAACTGAGAATAAGGACTACTGGTCAAAATATACTACTACAACAGTTTGTCATCGCAAATCCTCTGAAACCTTAACATAATTAGTTAGTTTTGTTAATGAGGACATGATATGTAGATGTGCATATCCACAAGAAATGTTTATCATTTGACTTTTGTAGGAGTTATGAGTCAGTGAATCTGGTGAGATTTTGTTTGCCCATTGACAATATGGGGGCATGGGGTGTGAGAGCGTGATCATTAAGGTTCTTATTATTTTATCAATATGTGTCTGGCGTCCTTGATTAAGTGCCTGATATCTTTGAAGACTTTTTACAACCATTTGTCGATACTACGTCTCTTCATGGGGGGTATAACCGACCCCTACCTTCAACACTTCATATGTGGCAATTTTTACTGTTTCCAACAAGTTTTAAAAACTAAACAAAGACACGAGGCTTATTATTTGGCACGCTACACGCGCGTTTCGTCCACAGTAGACACACAAATGGCGCTTGAAACAAAACAATTGCATAGCCAAATAAAGTTTTAAGAAGTTTAAGAACATTGATAACCGAAAATTCTGAAACGATGGCCTCAAAACGGATAAGGCAATCAACATGGAGGTAAATGTTTAAATCATTCGAAATACTATTGTTGTTATATCCCAAGACATATAAGTGTTTGACTTTCAATTTTCTTCATCTTTGTATAGAATTCGAACTTCTTTGCTCTTCTGCCAACTGTGAGACCAAAATATCTTATTTTTCAAACATGTTCATGATGTTATTAAAAGGTTAAACATATATATTGTGCCTACATAAAGAGTTATTGATACTGGCATGGACTATCATAAAAAAAAAACATTGTACAATCATTTCTCAATCTTTGCTTCTTTTTTGTTCGTTTTAAATGCATGATCATAGTATTATTATTGTATTATGGAGAAGACGTCATTGCTTAATTGCTTACATCCACCTTTTTTGAACTTTGGTGGATAGTTGTCTCATTGGCAATCATATCACATCTCCTTATTATTATATTCATAAGTATGAGTAACTTGTGTCACACCGATTTTGCTTAGATTTAAGCAAATAAAATATTTTCAAACTAAAGTAGGAAAAACGTCTGACCTTCTGAAATGTAAGTTTGAAATAGTGGTACCGTTAATGTTATGAATGATTGCATTATATGTTTACTGTCACGAATTTCTTTAAAATCAGTAATAGCTCTAATTTGTATTGATAGCTTTACTAAGAACGCTTACTCTATTCTTCAACCAATTGAATATTTGAGAGATTTGTGAACATATGAATTATGTACACACCACCGTTAAAATGTTGTTGTGATGTGCGCATGCAGTGAACGAAATTTTTACAAATGTTTATAATATGATAGTGCTATATGTTTTGTTTTGTCAACTCTGTGCATGTTTCTCTAGATTATGCTTTTTAACTTCCAGTGAACACAAATAGTTAACATCAGGCTATACGTTATTATTCCACTGTATGTAAATATTGATAAAGAAATCAACATTTGATTGGTTGAGACTATCCCACGTGACATTGATCAAAACTTCATATTCCCCTCTCAGTAGCATATTCCTCTATAAAGATCGGGACTACCTCGTGCGACGTTAAGCGCAGTAAATGTACATAACGTTTTGAACGTTTTTTTTAAATAGCAATAGAATAAAGAAAGTCATTATCGTGTTCAAAATTATTTCTGACGTAAAAACCGTGAAAACAGAAAATAAATGATTATCTTTTGATCGGTATTATTTACCAATATTTATGTCGTATTTAGTAATAAAAGCAAGCGGATAAGAAATATTCTATGGAAATTAATATTTTATGTTCAGGAAGTAAAATAGTATAGACAGTGGAATAAAACATTCATTTTCCTTGGCGTGAGAAGATATGAAGATTTGTTCACTCTCCAAAAGTCATATTTCCCTCAGGCGATGCCCTCGGGAAATATGATTGTTTTGGGTGAACAAATCTTCATATATCCCGCAGGAAGGGAAATAAGTGTATAATATTGTACCTTTCTACATACAAATTGTACATTACATGCATTTTCACGATTTCATTATCCCCACTGTTTATGCCCAATTCTTTATTTTCGTCGACTATAACTATGATTTTCTGTCGTGATTGTAATGCAACTACATGTATTAGAGTTATAGAATATCAAGACAAAAACAACATATCTATTTCCCAACTTGTTTTTACAAAAAAGCTGAATTATGAGAAGGGGATACAATGGCTAATTTATATTTGTTGTATTTGCTAACAGGCATTTGGTATTTCAATACATAATTTACTGTACACCCCTGCAACATGTGGGAGCCAACCTCTTCTTTATCGCGTATTTAAGCAAAAGTCATAACTTCCTGAAAATATGTCTAGCAAAATCCTGCTGTATTTCTGATTTCCTTGTAACAATATTTATATTGTGCTTTTAGTTAATAATCATATTTTCAGATAAACTTACATGGCATTTGTCCAAGTAAACTTGAACCGAAACCACAGAGACAAAAAGTATTTTCCATATCTAGATATTTTATTGATTCCGATTAATGAAAACTAGGATATAAGACAAACACGATGATTTAAGTTTTTCTATCGTCAACTTCACACTTTGATTAGTGATAATTTATCTACCTTAGTCTCATATGCTTACATATCTCACTTGATAAGAAATACAATTACAGCAATTTCACTTAAAAAATTATACTCTTAACAGATTATAGGCGCGGACTTTCCACCAGCTATCATGTTGGTGACTATTTTAAACGCACCTATCCCATCAAACTTGAAAATGACGATATCACAAATACAATTTAGTCATCTTCATTTCTAGACTTACATCTAGAAATTAAAAATGAGGGTCGGTTGAGGTCAAAACCTTACGACAAACGAGATGATTTCAGATTCCCAAAGTAATCTTTTCATTACTATGTAGCAACATCCCAGCTACACATAAGCACCCGCAATGGAGTATCTCTTGCGTTTCCTGTTAGAGGGTTCCTACTTACAAGGAAGCTATTAAGCAACGGGTTTAAAAGGGTTAAAGATGAAGTCAACGCTTCGAAAATTTCACGGAAGCCATCATGATTAGGTTGCCCGTTATGGAATAACAATCTGTTTCACAGATGAAGACGATATGTTCCAATTGTCGTAACCTCAATCCCGTCCTCGAATGTAACACCACCGAATGAGATATATCACCTCATATGTACTTACATGAGTAACACGATAAGTAACACATGTTGAACATGATCTTCATACACCTCAGGAGTATCTGAGATTAGCTACTGTTTATGATGCGGTTCGTGTTGTTATTAAAGTCTGTTTTTTTCTAAGATGAGTTTTGATTTTTTGTCGTTTTACTTTTTTCCATGGCGTTGTCAGTTTGTTATCGACTTACATGTATGAGTTTCATCATCCCTTCGAAATCTTCTGTCTCTACTTTAACGTTTTCATATAATATGATATGGAAAGTATGAGATGCTTACAAAACGGTATACTATTGTTGCCTTTATTTACCCTGCCGACCCATCTCGTCTCAAAACGTCTTGCTACCAAGCGGTTCCGACTTTAGTTTACAGATATGATGTTAATCAAATAGTCTCTACCCGTTAAAGTTTTTATGTCTTTTATTTAATGACATGACAGCGTTCTCAATCACAACTGAGATTGTTTCATTCTTAAATGAAGCAATAGTACAAAAGATTTATACTAATTTGTTGCATATTGATTTTCTTTAATTTAGATTAGACAACCTGAAATGAACAATACAGATGACTTATGTGTTTTGTTGTTTTTTGTTGTTGTTGCTGTTGTAAAGGATTATATTCGTTTTATATTCTTTTTGAAAATAACAGAAAGAAGCATATAAAATTGGTTTATTTGCGTATCATTTACAAAATGTACATCAAGTAACAAGCATTTCGTCAAACGAAATAAATATGTTGACCTCGAAAATTCAAATAAAAATAATGCCCTTTTCTGAGAAAACATAAGTTTGCTATATGTCATGAGAAACTGAATTTTGATATTTGGCACAATAATGATCAGGAATGTTTGCATGGAATAAAACAAGATGTCAATGACTAATGTGAAAATGGGACTTGAACATTTTTTTTTCTATGTAGTATGCCTTAAATATATATATAAAACAAATTATAGAGATATTAAAACAGATTGAGGACTTAAAAACAGTTGGATATAACAATAAATAAAATACTTAATAAAAACATGTGTTTCAATAATATATATTGGTTTAATATATTTTCACAGTACTTGATTAATTTAAAAAAAAACTAGTTGAAATAATGATTGTATATGCATATAAGATATTATTGCATACTGTTATCGGCCATTTGACCCCGTTTTGTCTGTACTCCGGGTTAATTAAGCTCTTTTATACATATTGTACATATATAACAAATACACAGATTGATTTACATTTTAAAATCTTATGAATAATCATTTTATGACCAATGTAAAAAATTAAGAAAAAAACACACAGAAATAATTAAACAATCTCGATTTTGAAAATGATCATTTTAAAAACGTCACCATTCATTTAGTTTTATATTGTTTAAAACATATATCAACAATGTTACCAGGCCATAAATATTTATCTGCATTGAAATCAAATCTGTAAAGAGTTAAATCAAGTTAGAAAATGAAAGCAAACATACACTTCAAACTTTTCAACGATATATAATACAAAAAACCATCCCAATGTCTTCTGTGTCATATGTATTGTTATGTTAACTGTTGTAACTTGTCATATAACACATCATTCAAATGCAGTAACAGATCAAATATCTAACAATATATTTAAACTTTGACCACCTGGACGGCATGCTTTTAGATCTAAGTTTTACACATTGAAGCTCCATAAAATAAAACAATATCCAGGAAGCAATCAAAGAAAAAGTAAATCTTGTGTTTTACTGTTTATAATGTTGTATCTCAAACAAAATATAGCATTAATTTCATACGTTTGGTACCGAATGACATTGACTTCAGTACGCACTGATGTTCTTGGGTCATATGCAATGAATATTCTCACTATGCACCAATACGAAGATGGGGACAAAACAAGAAGACCGACATAAACTCATCATAGATATGATACACAATAGACTAAATCTTGTAAACATGAACCCCTTGCACAATTTACTTGCATGGAATATAGTCATTTTTAAACTGAAAATTTAATGAATAATGGCGTTATAGATTTACATAATATGAAATGTATATTCCAACTATACAAAAATATGAATATGACGACAATGCATGAAATCGGACATATTCCATAGACAAAAAAATCAATAAAACATTGAACTCCTGCACAGTTTACTGGCAAGCAGTATAAGTGTATTAACAGTAAATATGTAACAGATAATAACGTTCATGTGTTTAGGTTTCCAATAAATACTGCTGACATTGTTTTACATACTGGCGGGCTGACGTTGTCACATGATTCGATTGTATCATCTTTCAGCGTTACAATCTATATATATATAGCACAACCATTTTGTGACATTTATATGAAAACTTTGTGCTGGTAACACAATTTAACATGTTTAAATCAATAACCAAAAAATATTTTATTGGAATTAGCTGTTTAGGAAATCATCAATGTTACGGAATGTATCTCCTTTAGGATTAGATCTGATTCCTTGTCCAGGATAACAACTATTGCGGCCTTTTTCGATTATATCAGCCTATGAAAGTTTCTACTTGATTTTGATTTTTAAATATTTTAATCTTGAACATTTAGATTTAAAGTGTCGAAATACACACCTAGTGTAAGAAAATTGGTACCGTTTATCATGTTTATAGAGTTGCCATCCGGACGAGTACATATATTTTTTTAAATAAGTACATTAATATGAAGTTCTTGCTTGACGATCTAGACACTATGAACACATGAAGAAAATACAAACTGGAATTTTTTGGCCAAAAAAACCAAAGAACTCAACAGTGTCTTAAACATTTAACAATGAATATAGAACAATAATGTCAGCATTCATTGTACGGTGTGAATAAGGCTTGAAATAACCACTCAGTTATGCAAGTGAACAAATTATTCATCCTCATACATAATACATTTATGTATGATAACGAAAACCTTTTTTATGTATGACTGCATATTCCGCAACAATATAGATTTTAAAAAACATATTGGAAGTTGTACCTATTATTTAAGTGCAAATCCAGTATATATATGGCAGTGATTCATGAATGTAAAGAATTCTACATTACAATAATAACCTAAAGAACTGTTAATGTTTGTTACACGGATGTCAAATGATAGATTCGAACAGAAAATGAAGGAATGAGATTATGTAAAAATCAACCATTTCTGCTTTTCCATTCGCATTGCATGGAAATGTTATCATACACTCGTGAATTACAGATGTGCATAATTAATTTTACATATAAAAAGTGCATGTGTTAAATTCGTTTTGTAAAAAAAATATATGTACAATGTAAAAATGGTATATGAGTAGAACACACATTAAAACAATGGCACAAATCTCGTTGAAGGATATTTACATAAATACTTATAGAGTTAAATGTCATTTCGTTGTTGTGTATTTACATTCATGTTGATGTGTAGTCCAGTGTTTTAGCTGCAAGAAATGGAATTCATTTATTACACAAATAAAGGAAAACATGTGTATCCAGAAAAATAATTGTTCCGGTGTACTACGTTCAAATACAGAGAATTAGGAAAACATAGATTAATTAAGAGGAATCCTAAAATAATAAAAAAAACTTTAAGTTTTTTTTAAACTAAATCGGTTTATGTATAACGCAGTGTATTATAAATTAGATTAGACAAGTCGTTATTAGTATTTGAATCGTGAAAATAGAGTAACTGAAACAAATACAAAATAAATGTTAAATTGCTTGAAAATACAGCTACACCAGTATTTTCAACAAGGGTCCAAATATAGTCAAGATTATATAAACACCGATATTTTGCTGCGCAGTGTTACATTTTCTTTACATATGCACGGCTAGTTGTTACCATATCATCATGTACTATTCTTTTTCCATTGCAGATTGATAAACAACCCCAGAAGATATAAATGTTACAGGACGGACACAATATGCATGTACAAACTGATGAACGAAATTGCAGTTTGATATTATTTTCATCCATATTGAAAACAGATTCTCAACAGAGAAAATTTCAAGAATATTGCAGAAAAATACCTTTTATTCATATAACTTATATTTGTATATCGTATTGATTATTTTGGTTGATGTGTGACCCAATTGCACTGTCAACTTGATCAACGTTTTCATTTTATTCTTTTGTAATAGCAGATGCCATAGATTGATTGATTGTTGTTTGCTTAACGTCCAGTGGGGCATAACAGCATACACGTATGATATAGACCTTATCATTCTGAAAAATGGTATTCCATTAGAATAAATTAAGGATCGTTTCAGAATCTTCAATAACATATTCATGTATACTTGACATGTGATATTTACACTTATTCATTTTTCAAAAACCGCAAATATGTGATACTTTCAAGTTATCTATATTGCCTTATGGTATAATCAAACTAGTGCTTCATTGACGTTTATAATTAATTGACATCATCATTCGATACTGCATGCATCAATTTACCAAAACTTGTATTATGAACAAGGACTAACATGACCGGATAGAACTTACATTTAACGGTATTGTCAGATATTGTTATGTTATTACCGTCACATCTAAGGTTAATCTAGTCATATTAGTCACATTGTACAACATACAAGGTTTTGAGATGAACTAAATTCTTATTAATACATGGACACGATGAACAGAATATTTCATGAAATCCTGATTTTATACAAACCTGGCACTGTTGGGAGCAATACCAAATGCTCTGACATGTTGAACAGAGGTATAAACTAAACTTTCCACACATTATGCAGTTACCAAAAATATGTTGCGCCTTGGAACCTGCTTCCTGTTGCGGCATACCGCTGCCTTGGACTACTTGAGAATTGGGTATCATGCCTTGGGCCTTGACATTCAACATGTCTGGACTGCAGTTTTCCTGCTGTTGCTGAATTGTTTGTTGTAATTTTGCCTGGTGAACCTTAAAAGATAAACCAAACAGAAAATCTTGTAACATCTTAATGTTTGTAACACAGTATAGGAATGCTATATAGTTGTAAACTGTATGTAGTATCGATGAAAAGGATGGAAATTAACAAGAAGATGTAAATTTGTGGAATATTCACTATGGTTAGACTTTAATTACTGTTTGTTCCGAAGAATATAAGACTAAATGTATTTAATTATTTAACTGAAGGGCATGTTGTATATTTGTATGTTATGGTTTATTCAATTAATGAAGTTTTCGTGAAAAGTATGTATTGAAGACAAACGACATGACAGGTAGTTTCTGAAAGTTATGTACAATTATCTATCTGGTTGGTAACTAGATAAAGGTAAAATAACAACAATAAATAAAAAGATCAGTGCATACGATCAATGAGCAATTTCTTTCCGACCATTACTGCAGCTAAATTAGACAGACTTTGCACGGTTGGATAATACATATTAACGTACGAACGAATGCGCATTATGAAGCCAGCCGTAACAAGCGTACAAAAGAAATTTGCTGAATTTATGGTAATCCTAATATACATTTTAATAAACATTGCGCACGTATTACACTTTATTACATACAATATATTACATAACACTTATCATAGAAAATGAACCCTTCATTGCAAAGACAATTAATACATCCACGAGGTTAACATGTAAAACATGGTACGAATAAAAAGATATAAAATGCAATTGCATGTCAAGGCATAACATGAGTAAAAAATGCAAACAACCGTTCAAAACCCAATAGAAGGAATAAAGAAGCGCATTTAAAAAATAACCGAGTGCCAATTGTTTTAAATTTAAAATATTAAAGCGGAGACTATCAAAATTTCTTAAGGGTGCTTTGATACCTTTGGATATGGATTTGGTTTCGGTAGGATATGCGCAAGTCGTCGTTTTGGGTATCCATTTTCTTGCAGTGCGCCCTGAAATTTTAAATTAATTTGTTCTTATGTATTTGTATTTTTTTTTTAAAGCAATTATTATCAAACTCGTTTCATACAGTATCATTTATATATTTATATGTTTTGGTATTAAAAGACATTAACACTATCAATTAGTGCACGTTTATACGATCGTTTTTGTAATACATTTTAGATTTTTGTTTTAACTAAATGTCATATTGAAAAATATCATGTGGATCTGGTGGTTTAAAATTTGTGCCGTTAATGTTTTTTTGAAATGAGTCGATCATAAATGAAATGTTAAAAGAATATCAAAGATTAAATTATTACACTTATAAGTCAGACTAATTTGAACAAACATCATCTAAACAATTAGGGAGCATGGATTGGATATACATTCAAAAGCTTTTCAGATATCCTGGACGAACCAATTATCTGATGAAGTACGGTTTTATTACTTTTCACAAGAAGAATTTTCCTGTAAATAATTTAAAAAGCCGAGAGATTTTTATAATTTGAAATAACGACACGGTAATCAAAATCGGCATCCATATCAAGCGAAAACATATTTGTAATCAGTCTGATAATCATGTAGAGCATATCTAGGTATTTAAGTGTTTAACACCGTAAAAGAATTGTATAACCAAAATCTCTACAAAATGAATGTGAAAGCACTTACTGCCATTTATTTGAAAATGAGAAGATTGAACAGAATAATCAAATCGTGCAAATATTTGAATTAGAAAATTAAGCGTTGGAAAACAAGCTTAAAAATAACAAGGTCAACTCAATGCTTTAATATAAATTGCAAACAAAGCAGATGGTATTAAATGACGCCTTTGGTCCCTTCAAATTCTAATGTAAAAAGTACGATAAATCTATCATAAACAAAATATCCGGATCTTTCCATTGAGATTCATTTATCAGTAGTAAATGTTTCTTACATAACGAAATGATAAGAGCATTAAACTGCTTGCATTTTAAAATCCTAACAATAATATATTGATATGATAAAAAGCTTTTCCACTTCTTAGAACGGTGCTCATACTTTAACGCAATTTCCGTAGTAAAATAAAATGGAAATAAATCGTCGCAAAAATGTCAAATTTATTTTATATGAATACATCATCAAAGAAATTTAAGTGAAAAACGTGCAGGTAAAGTTATGCTAAGGATGTTCGTGTTTTAAAGTGACAAGCTTTTAACAAGACTGTTATAAATTGATAGTAAATAAAAGAAATAATTAATAGTCCGTGTCCATTTTTCTTTTTCCTTTTTTTAGATATAAGCCATTGAAAATTTGGCGGGAAATGATTCTCTTTATATTTTTCATATTGCTTTTTAAACTATATGTTTTTAGATTATAAACAGAAACGAATGGTTTAGCGGGCAAAATTTTTAATGGCTCTACATGGATAAAACCAGAGGATTCCGAATATCTAACAAAAAGCCAAAAACAAGATCGGCAAACGTCCTTTATGACGTCGCTCTGACATTATATAGGATATATCTTCACCGGAGTGACCAATATTACATCGCCATATTCTAAGAGATAAATAAGCACAATATGATTGCAAGGTTGAGGATTATGACTTTTAAGTAAAATAATGGCTTCTTCTTAGAAACTTATGTTAGATGGTTTATTAAGTACGATTTTGGAATGTGCCATAACATCCCAGATTAAAAAGTGTACATGCAATTGTGGTTTAAGGTTGGATCAAATTAATTGCTTTATTGAATAATACAAATTGTGTACTTCTAATTTTTTCTTTCACGATGTAATAAACATATCAAGGTTTAATGTTGAAGTAGGTTACTAGTGTATTAAATTGGTTAAAAGTTCCTTGATATGAAATAGATAATATCATCTAAATTTCGAAAGAAAATGTCACAAAACTTTAAATGTACTGTATACAAGCTTAAGTAGGCGCTAGGTTTTGTAATCTTTGTTTGGCGAAATAAAATTCAAGAGAAATATGGTTTTTTAACGCGATACTGTTTTTCAAATTTTTGACAAAAAAGTACGATCAGTATTAACTTGAAAATATTTGGAATGAATGAGTTTATACATAACGTCATATAATAAGACGTTTTAATTGCTCTTTTAGTTTGATTTGAGGAGGAGTACTAGATGCAACGCATAGCAAAATATGATTAAAAAAACTATACAAGAACGTAATATTTAATTGTATGCACCCTTATCATATAACAATCATCTTATCTTGAACATAGCAGGTTGAAATTCTATTAGTTTGAGTTACCCATTGTTTATCTTGACATACATAAGAAATTGACATTGGGGTTTGTTCAGAACTAGATATTTTATAATACGTAAATTTTCAAATGCGAATTTTCCATTTCTTGTAAGAAAATGGTACTGCACCTGCACATAGAGCATATATATGTCATAGTTGGTTCGACAGTTCTAGGCCTGCGTTTCCTATTTGAATGTGCTTAGTATTGGGTTGATACTGAAAGGTATCAATTGAACCAATGGTTTCTAAATAATACGGACGCCGTGGTTCTTTATTTGACTAAAATAAAATATCTGTTGAACAATTGACCATCAATTACACATCCTCTTTTTCTTGTTAATGATACAGCTGAATACCACTAATAGCAATATGTTTACTAGTCATGAGAATAAGAAAAGCACTATATTAATTTGGTGCGTCCGAAGTCCTTATCTTGATTTACGTTCTTCATGAAACATCCAAAAACCAAATTTATAAAGCCAAGAATGTGTATTCATAAACATTCATAAACATTTATTAAGAGTTATATGATCAAAATGGATACTCAGACTATACAAAATTCCAAAAATCGTTTCAGGTCAATATTGCCTTGAAGAGTTTCAACCTTTGTTCTTTTACGAAATTTCTAAATCTATTAGCATGATGCAACGTGTGGAACATTAACTAATAATCTTTCCAGATTCTCATTTCGTCACGGGTTTTTGTTTATTTCATGTTGATATCCTGCGTTGTGTTTTCTTTGTCCCTGATATTGTCCGTCTTTCTTTGTATTTGATTTCCCCCTTGGTATTTACATATCCCTCTTAAGTAAACAAATAACAGTAAAATCTAAATAAATCACTGATCACCATAAAAGCACATGGTAAATATAAGAAAGTACTGGTATGTGATCTGAAATTTCAAACGATGAACCTAACAGTACTACAAATTAATTGCATTAATACAAAACATTTGTTAAAAGTAACCACGAATATACAAATATCACTATATATATAATAATCATAAACAAGCTTTTTTCTTAAACAAAGTACAGTTTTTCAACTTTTTATAATTCAATGTGTTGTTGTACGTGAATCAAAACAATGCAGCAAAAAAAAAAAAAAAGAAATTAAATCCTGATATTTTTGCAAAGTTTGCATTTGTAACACATATAGAAATAAACAATATCTGTGATAGATTATTTTAAAGCAATACCAGTCATTGTTGCAAGTTAAAACATAGAATAAAAAAAAGATTATTGAAGTGAGGACAAACGTATTAAAAAATACTTAAAACATAATGTATAAAATAAATGCCAAGCGGAAATGTCGATGTGGTACTCATATATACAAGCGCCGGATATAGAAGAGCAGGTGCAATTAGACAAAATAACTGATTTTTTTTTCGGAATCCAAATACTTTAGAGAAAAAAAGTTGTCTCCATCATATTATGTTACTTCTGGTATTAACCACAAAGTTATACCTAAGTCTTTCAAGGATAAAACGTTTTTCAATAAGTTTCCAGCCTTCCATAAATCCGATTTACTCCTCAAGGTATGTGTCCATTGAATAATACGTTATTTTTATCTGCCAATTGCCATACTTACAATCGCTAGGCCTTCGGATTTGATAAGAAAAGACATAAGCTTGCAGTTTCATAAACTTTAATCACTAGTGAATCGACTATTGAACATGTTGAACTCAATCGGCCGTAATAATATAAATCGATCGCAGAGGACTGAACAGTAAATAAATGAGGCGTGTTCTGTCAGTTTCCCCAGTTACTGTATCAACTACCTGGAATTCACGTCTGTTTTAATACTATGGTTGCGATCATATTTTTCTTTTTGTTTATTAGTGCAAAACATTAGATACGGTATTGTTTATAAAAAAAACCCATAAACAGTCCTGGATTGGCCTCAAGCAACAGGTTTTTTCTACAGTAATAAATGACCCGTAATGAACATATTTGTAATGTTGTCTTGCAGTCGATCAATCAAAATTAAACTATTTTTGAACTGGTTTAAAAAAAGGTGACCAAATGAATTGTTTGTCATATTTATCCAACAACTATTACTATATCAAAGAGTATTTGATTTTCGAAGAGAAAACTAACTTACAGAAATGAATCGGACAAACAATGTTAAGAGGATGTGTGGAAAACTGAAACACTACGCTTTACTTTCATATGTCCCTCTTTTGTTATATCTTAATTTGTTGTGATTTCGGGAATAAGTTTCTTTGGAAGATTGTTGTAAATCTATTGAACGATTAGGACATTGGTACATAAAGTGTACAGAAATTTTTGTATAGTTAAACACTTATTTGCACTTCAAAAATGTCTTGCATTTTGCGGATAATAATAAAAAAACAATAATTTTGTTCATGCAGGTCAGATTTTATTTCTTGTGAAAAATTTCATAGCCATATGCCTGATATTTTTAAAGCTTTTTTTTGATGAAAATGCATTTTAAAATTTAAAATAAGGGAGTGAATCCTGTCCTCCACGGTAAACCATGCTTTAAAGTAGCGCATACATTTCTGGCATGGCTTATGCCAAATAGCTATATGGTTCTATATAAAATATCACTGTTTGAAATACAGGCACAGAAACAACCACACCAACGAAAACACCAAAAATAGGTAAAATCAAAACTCCAAATAAAGAAACAAAAACAAAACAGAACGAAAAATATACGTAACAGTCCATAAAACACCTAAAAACCAAAGATTGAGTTTAGCAGACATTGTAAATAGCTAATCTGATTCATCATAAGGAGCCGACAAAAGACTTGTGTAGTCGCTGACGCACAATGAAATGTTCATGTAAGTATTGTAATTATAAAATGATATTCATGTATTTGTAGCACTCTTATGATATTTAATTTTTTTCCTATTATCGTTTGTGACTCAAATTTTCTAGGTTCAAATTAAGCGACTTAATATATGATAAACTGTCTTTCAGAAAAAATGAACACTATAAAACATTATTTAAGGGGTCGGATTCATATAAAGATGGATAGCCTAGTATTAACAAAGGCAGTCAAGGTACACGTTTGTTAAATATATATTTAGAAAATTATATCAACACAAATAACTATTTAACACGATTAACAATTTTATCTTAGTTTTGCATTAAAGGGAAAACATATTTCCCTATTTTTCGAAATGCTACTCGAAATCTCTTAAGATGAACACTTTCAACCTTCATCACTCAAATTAACAGTTCAATGTTTGCTGATATGTGTATATTAAATATTAATATATGTTCCTTATTTTGATAAACTTTTAATTCTTTGTAAAGATTTCCATGATATTTAAAACACATATTAATAAAAGACATAACGTATACATGGAAAAATATAGTAATTTCATTATGCCACACTATCAAGCAATTGCGAAAAGATAACTGCTTATTGATTATACCTTTGAACTTTTAACAGAACAAAATATTATGTTTAACTCTTAGAACTACTTTTGCTGTTTAACTAGTAGTTTACATTGCAGAACTTCATGTGACGATACCTTACATATCTAAATATTAGGGATTTTAAATCAAACTAAAGAAGGAAAGTGGAAAAGATATAATTATGAAAACACCACATACATTCAAAAATGAAGAATACGAACTCATGCAAAAATAATAATACATACACTTTTGTTGAAATGATCCACACCAAAAAGGCTACGTTTGAAAACAATTTTAAAATTTAAACTAAAATATCCAAGCTAATACAAACTAAAGACATAAGGTACAAGGTATATGAACAAAAGATTGAAAAAAGACATTTGTAAGGGAATGGATGGAAAATATCACAAAAAGCATTGAAATTCAAATAAATTTGTTTTGTCAGGGATATCATTGTGGTTTTTTTTTAAGAAATATTTATTGGAAAACAAATTTCATCTGAGCTTTTAATTTTTATCTATGCTCTTATAGTTGACATGCTTATTTATATGTTGAACTATGCTTGCATGTACGAGCGCGTTTAAGTTGTTATATGATTCTTCTGAATTATCTGGGTCAACTACCTGTTGAAATCTTGCTGCGGACTCTGGTGTTTGGTGTACCATTTGTTGATGTGCAGAAACAGGAACTAATATTTGATGGTTTTGTATATTTTGTGCTGCCTGGAACTGTGCTGGCGGCGAGTGAAATGATTTTGGACCTAAACAAACAATAATACAAACTTTCATATCATATCATATCATTATCAATTGTTTTTATATAACAGTTAGCCACATCTTAATCTTTAAGAGTTTTTGATGTCCTAGGCCTATGGTAAAATTGGATTTGGTACATTCTTATTGTTTTTGTTTACTTTAATATTTTTCTTATTTCTGGTTTTATTGAATGATAAAACAGTCTTTAATTTATATATATATATATATATAAATATATAAGTGCCTATAAATAGCAGCACATGACATACAAATCTATGGGAGTGTGGATTAATCAGTACAGAGATTAATTAAATTACACAAATAAAATTATAGATTGCCTAACAATGTAATTTTAACACACTATTTAGTATGTAAATATAAGAATGTTTAAAATATTTACAAAATGATAAAAATAAACGCAATATTTCGCGAAATATTGCATTTATTTTCATCATTTGGTAAATATTTTAAACATTCTTATATTTACATACTAAATAGTGTGTTAAAATTACATTGTTAGGCAATCTATATATATATAGTTGCATGCACACGTATAAAAATTGCGGTTTTTATCCAACGCAATCATAGGTTTGAACGTTGTTTTCAATTTAGACTTGTATATATATATATATATATATGTATGTTTTTTTCTAACGTCACTGCACTAGTTAACCAATTTTGATCTGAAACGGTAATTTTAATCTGAACAGTTTCTTTAAAGACTGAACAATAAATTATTAAGTAATTTTCAGTCTTTCAGTCAATTATCAGACTTATCCACACAGGTAAATTCAGTTATGTTCAGACAGCTTGCTTGCATTCAATTGAGATCTGTTCAGTCTATGTGCAGACGTTTGAGTAGTTGTTTATTACCTGTACACATCTGCATCACACTGAATTGTCTAAAAATCTTCTGATCAATACTGAATTGAGTGCAAACGAATTGTCTGAACTGTACTTGATTTACTACGGTAGATTAATCAGCATATTGACTGAAAGAATGAACATGACTGAATAATATGTTGTTCAGACTTTTCAATTGAAGTTAAAGATGTAGTTAGGTGAAATTAAAAAAACTCTAAAATTTAAAATTGATACTATACGTCAGAAGAGCAACAGTAAAGGAACAAAATAAGCTAAAGATATTGATAGGTTAAGAAAATCCTTTTTGCGATATTTGATTTTTGAAAAATGGTGGGAAAAGGCTGAGTCGGACTTTTACCTTATATTTAGCATTGCATTATTATGGGTCTCAAAGAACAAAAATCCAGAATCTGCTTAAATAATGGTAATGACATTTTATAAGCTATTGAAGTCTTCTATGAAAAGAAAAGTAGGTGATATGTCGCAAAATATTTAACCCTATATCATAGGAAAAAACCGAAGAGGTCCGAACATCTGACAAAAAATTCATCAACCTCACCTGAGTACATCTTAAGATCAAAATGACTGTTTAAGACTGAAATCCATACTAGTGCTGCTCGTTGGTGTTTTTCACCACAAGTATATAATCAAGACAAACACAATTATTCGCCACCACTTGACATTATCTGATGAAGATATCTCTTATGTTATTTATTACAACTGCATTTCTTTTACAATAAATACCCATTTCTATATAATATTCCTTTTATATGTGTCTTCAAACAGAAGTTATAACTACCGTAGACAAAATACATCTTGAGAAGTTTTGACAGTTCTCTCTAGGCAGTTTTTGGGTATAATGCTCCTTGATGGTTTATGTATTTGCTTTTCAATTGCATGTGTACCTGATGAAGGTTATTCCAGAAAAAACATATCGGGTGCAATAAAAGAGGAATTATTATTTCAGTCTTTAAACAAACCTTCGTGATACCCTCGATGGGACATCGCATTAGGAGAAATCATTCCAGGCTGCATATGAATATTCTGAGCTCTTGGTGCATTATTTGATACTGCGACCGGAGAAAGCTGATAATGCATCTGTGGTGTTTGATATAATGTTGGAATAGTTCTCCTTGGATCATTGCCTCTGATTATTTGATTTGATGGCACTGTAGCTGCACCTATCAGCCGAACACTGTGTGGTAGGTGAGCAGGATTTATAGAAGGCCTTGTGGACGATACAGGATTATTAGGTCGACCATTGGCTTCCCCATGATGTGGAGATCTCTGTAGTACAGTTAACAACTGTCCGCCTGCATATTGAGGAGGATTTCCTGATTTTGAAATAGTGTGCATGCTTGACCGAGCTGCAGGAACTATTCCTGGGCCATTTTCTGAAATGAGTTTGTGCTTGTGCATTTCAAAGTTATTAGTATCTGGAAAGGAAGGTTTCGTTATGGCATTTGGTTTTTGTGTATTATTCATCATTGGTGGTTTTGTTATTTTGAACTGCTGATAGTCCTGTTCTAATCGTTCCTGATTTTGACGACGTCTTATAGCTTCACTCAACTCTTGTTGTATGGCACTTTCAGTATTTTTATTACCTTTGGCCGACGTTTTTGTCTGTTTAGTAGCTGGTGTGCTGCTAATCATACGTTGTGGTCTGGTTTGAGGAGTGGTAACTACATGCGGCTGCACTTGTGTAGGAGATATAGCTGATTGAAAACTTGTCTGTATAGTGGAATTAGTAGTTAAATTACAAGGGTTGCCAAATTGCTGTTGCAAATTTATCGGCGAACACAGATGACTATCTCTAGCAGGAGCTGATACAGCTCTTGAAGTACTGGTATCAGATATGCTAGTGACTTCACTACCTTGACTTTTTGACCTCTCATTCTTTACAGTTATTAATTTTCCAGGTACCTCAAAGGGTTTTTGGGCATGTGCAGCTGTCAACGGACCTGGCATTGAAGCTCCTTTAAATCGAGTGGGAGGTGACAATGGACGTTGTCTGGAAGAAAAGGGGCCGGTCGCTCTAATGTCGTGAGGAACTGTTATCGAATTAATCTCAAGTGTTCTCAGTATTTCTTTTGTGTCTTCTTTTTTACATGAGTGTGCAGGAGGAGGAACTTTATTCTTTTGACCAGATGATGTAAATATTTTTGACGCAGCAGCTTTGCAACTGCTTTGTATTACTTGTAATTGTCCATCATTACTAGAAACATTAACACGGTTCGTTAGATTTATTCCAGAAGCGGGTATTGGGCGTTTATTTGGCCCAAGAGGGGATGATAAGAGTAAATTACGCAACATTTCTTCTTTTTCCTTCAGTAACATCATCATCTGTCCTGCTTCTCGATTTCTCATTTCAAGCTCATGTTTCAACTGTTTGATATCATTATATGTTGCTTCTACTTCTGGTCCTAATAAGCGTGATTTGCTAAAAATAGGTTTATTTGGTTTAGTAACGGAGGACACTGGAACAAGTGGAGGAATATTTTTATGATAATCTTTTGTTTTTATAGATGTAATTTCACTTGTTCGCTGCTTTTTGTTAACGGGTTCTAGGGTAGCAATATTGTCCTGTATGTTTTCTTGAATTTGATTGTTCTCTACAGAAGGTGAATACCTTGACGCTACACAACTATCCACAGAATGACATGTTGAAATACACGAAGACACCGTATTTGACGAGTCTGTCGGTATTTGAGCAGATGCTGATGAATGACTTAAAGGTTCAGTTGATAAATCCTTGGAATGTTTTGACAATTCTTCACTGCAACTTGTAGCAAAAGAATGCGTACTATTGGTGTTTTTAGTAACGCCTAGTGCAGCTGTTGATATTACGACAGACGTGGTTGGAATGGTTGGTTCTAGTTGTTGCATAGATTCGCTAATATTTGAAACATTCGCATTAATTGCCTCTTTTGTAATATCCATTCCACAGCTTTCATTAGTCGGAATACTCGATCGTTCTACTTCTTTTGAATTAGCATGAACATCATTTGTATTCAAAGTTTCATCGTTATTCTGTTTCAGAAGGTTGGATGGAGAGCCTACGATCGTTTCTTCTGATTGCATAATTAAATTGATGGAACCAGAAAAGGCATCGTCATTCATGTGGAACGTATTTTCATACCCTTTATCGGAATCATTACTCGGTTCTGTAGTAATAGTATGGTGGCTTTGATCCATCGTATCCTCTAAACATATTTCAGATTCAATGTAGCAACTTGGGACTGATGTTGTAGTGATGCTATGCACTTCTACAGATTCTACATCTGCTTCAACATTTTCTGAAACCATGTAATGCATTTTAAAGATAAAATTGTATTGTTTCAGCCCTTGAATGGTGTAAAATACCGGATAAAACGTGTATAGTGTAATAGTGAACGGTGTATTGTGTATGCTGTAATGGTGTATGGTGCCTTAGAAATAATGTATGGCGTATGTTGAATGTTGTAAGGTTTTTAAATTTTATTACTAAGTTTATTTAGTTGGGTGTTTTTATTCGATCTACAGATGAGTCGTATGTAGATGAACGTACCACTGGAGTAACACATTATAAGCCAGGTATACTTGATGATTAAAATTTGCAATTTTCAAAAATCAAGTTACACTGTGGGTAATTTTGAATAATACTAATCGTGTATGATTGTAATTGGAAGAGAGAAAGGGTATATGGTGTATCGGTATTGTGTATGGTGTAACGGTTTTTGTTGTATGATAATGGTGTATAGGACATGGTGTAGTAATGTATGATATAAGTAAGCAATTGACACCATTCAAGGACTGTAAATATATCTTTTAATTAAATCATGTGAAATTCAGAGTTAAACATATTTCTCCTAACAATTAAATTCAAAAGAAGATAAGGTATACAATGTAATAAATGCATGAGTATTTGCATGTACTGTAAAGGTTATCCACTTTAAGTCAAGATATTAAATGGGAGTAAAACAGTAAAAATTGAATAAACATATATAAATTGGATTCTGCGATGTAACATGACCTTTCATTGAATGTTTTTTTTCAAATATTAGTGGAGTAGTAAGGACTCAATGGTACATACAAGACTGACGAAGACTTACAAGTTGATCGTTTAATTTAGAATCTTTATACTTATGTTGCTATGTCCGAAAATCTTTTCCTCTAAAACACAAAAAAGTCAAAGACTTGTCCATTGTACGATGATGATGATGTTGATAATACGGTTGTTACATGCCCAGCAGCAAATAAAATGCAAATATAGGACGAAAACACTCAAGATAGAGTAATACGAACCCCTCTTATAACGAGGTGATATCAGGTGATCCTACAGAGTAGACAGATCCTGTTCCACTTGTGGCACCCACCGTGTAGTTCATGATTACTAAAAGTTCGAATAAATCGGTGATGTCAATTGCAGAAAACAGGACGGGGATTGTTTTTACGACAATTGAAACACATTTGTGACACAGATATTCCATAAAGGTTAACCAACTAACACAAATCTAACAGTAAACATTCCATTAGTACTCCTTACCTAATAACAAACCATAAGAAAGCACTAACAAAACGCTTGATATATTGATCGATAACGCATTTGTTTAATTCAGTGATTTAAGGTTCAATAAACAGCGAATACAAATATTAAAGTCTGTAAATACGAGTTCGGTCATAACATACATTTTGGTTATGTTTACCTAATCGTATTGTGTAAATGAAAATACTGTGTTTATTAACTACATAATGTATATCTAGAACACCTATCTATAAAATGCTGTTTGTCTTTTTGATAAACACAACATTTTTAATGAAAATGTGAATGTAATCTCTCTCCCAACAAAAAACAAAAAACAACGCATTGTGGAAACGGGAAAAGTCGGCTTCCCTTATAGACGATTGATGCCTACAACAAATATGTTGAAACAAAGGCTCTTAATGATACAGTTGCAGTCATCTGTTCGAAAGATTTACAGAAACTATTACGATTGGGATGACCTTAATGGCATATTTGTATCGGAGATTACCATGCATATGTGATGTTTTTCCATCAGTTTAAGTTTGTTACCCGGATTTGTTTTTGCTTAATCGAATTATGACTATTGAACAGCGGTATACTACTGTTGCCTTTATTTTCACCTATCGTATACAAAATCATATTCTCCTGTTCTTGATTGAATCATCACCAAATGCGACTTTTTACCAAATATGCTCTTGCCATGAGCAAAAAGACGTGTCACCAGTTGAACAGAAACTACTTATCCTTCCTGAGCGCCTGAGTTCATCTTCGTTTTTGATGAGTTCATGTTCTCTAAGTAGTGTTTTGTGGACTAGCTTGTCTTTTTCGTTTGGTCATGGTATTCATTTAACTTCGGCTTATGGTTTGCGAATGCCCTCTCTTTATCTTCTCCCTCTTTTTAAGTACATGCAATGGTATGGGTATATGATTTGATATGCCACATATCCGCAGTTTCTTCTATGAAAACAAAACAGATATTCGACCGAAAACACAATAGACTTATCAGTGATGTATCATTGATCTTGATTCATTGACCAGTGTTTGCAATTTATAAGGGTAACATAATACATACAGAGATATCGCTCTGAATTCATCCTTAAGTTTTAGAGTTATTTATTTTTCTTTATTTTTCTATTTTTGTAATGGTGATTTGGGGAAGTTGTTTCCTTCTCTGTCTTGCTTCCTGAATTTGTTTCATTATTAATGAGAAGTTATTCTATATATACCAATTTCTTCATTCATCACCACTGATGTAACTTCAGAATCTGCGACTTCATTCTCATTGACTGTCATCTGAACATCTGTATTTGACTCTGCATGTGAAATACTCTCTGTCGTTGAGTTTTCATCTGAATTTTCATTGTTGTTTGCATGTCGAGGCCTGCAATAAAAATACTGCTTATTTAAAATTTAGAATATATACTCTCAAATTAATCAACGAACAATGATAAATGATAAATTTCCAAGTCCACTCATTTAGTCGTCTTGAAAATCACTAATCCAACATTTTAATCTCCCATCGAATGGAAAAAGATCAAGTTCATTTGAGAAATTTTCTCCAGACTAATGTAACTTTGTTCTAGGAAAGCAGGAATTATGTGTTTACATTCATAATTCAAAGCGAATCACGTGCAATAATATATTAAAAATGTGCAGTAATGATGCCCTTCCAAAGCAATAAATACCATTCCATAATGTTTTCAGTTTTAAGTGTTTTGTCTACTGTTTACATGTCTGGATATCTTTGCATTCGATTGTGTACTGGTCGTAGTTTTATAAATTTACCAAATCTTTAATTTTGATTGCGGAGTATTGATTTGTGTCCGTAGCACACGCTTAAACTTATATCAGAAAAATGGTTTTTGTTGCGATTTACGTTGCTCATTCTTTAGATTGTAGTTGGTTGCATCGTGTATTGTTATTTGTATATCCGTCTTCATTTGCTACAATAGTGTTGGCTGTTTGTAGTTGAGCTATAATGCTCGATGTACCTCTTGATATTAAAGTACTTTTTGAGGACGGGTTTTTATTAAATTTACAATCTACATGTAGAAAGTAAACACAAAGAAATTTGAATTTGTTTTAGGACGACGAACAACACAGGTATGTAAGAATTGATTAATGTGTTAGACCGTTACACTGGTGTTTTTTTTATTATAGATATTACTTAATTATAAGCATGTTTATGTCTCGTTTCTTTGAGAAAAAAATTTGAAAAATTCCAGGATATTTTGTGATTAAGTATGCCAATTCACCAAGATGTTATTCAACAAACATGACATGAAGTGTAAAACAAAATTAATGCTGATGTCAAAATCAAGTGAATATCCTTTGACTGAATGATAACTATCACATGATTTGTAAAGCTTAATATAGTTGACCCTCTACTAATTATCACTAACAAGATCCCGTGATGGCATAAAACATTACAATTTGTCTGCGGTTATAAAACATTAAAAATGAAGTCAAGGACCAGACGTATCTTAGATTGACAAAACGCAGGTGTATACAAGATATTAATCATCAAGGGCTTTTGCCTTCTGAAATATAACATTTCAACAAACTGTTAATGCTGTCGTCGCTGCCGATGTCGATTTATAATGAGTATGTCTAACATTTTGCGACATTAACGATATTAAAAGGCGAGTCAAAAATATAAATAACAAAATGTAGCAAATTTTCGAAATGAACCTAATCAGATCAATAGAAATATTAAAAATCCTTCTACCTAGAATTATCAAATTGAATTTGGTCGTTGTCTTCTATATTTGAAAATACAGTTTTATCGTTTCCTTCAACTGCTGAATTGAGATACTGCTGGGTACTTTCAGACGGACTTGACTTTTCATTCTGCTGGGTACTTTCAGACAGACTTGACTTTTCATTCTGCTGGGTAGTTTCTTGAGGATTTTTATTAATATCCTGAAGGGTAGTTTCAGGAGGATATATATTTTCACTGTTACATATATCTAATGTCTTTTCAATATTACTAATGTCTAGTCCATCACTATCCTTTTTATCGTCCTTATTTTGGTCCCTGTATTTCTTTTCCAACCAATTAAACTGAGGGAACTCTTGTTTAATTCTGTCCATATCACTTTTAGAATCCACAATTAGATGTCCCTTTTCTTGACGTCGTCGCTTTGGGGGCAAAATTTTTGGTAGGTCATCTTCGTCTGAAATAGTTTTGGTAAATTAGAAAAGCTTAAACTTTCTGAACAGAATATTGTCAAAGAAAAATGGCTGGCAAAAACACCTTTATTGTGAATACTTTGTACACTAACAAATTCGGGATTAATAATAAATTATCATTATAATATCAACTTGGATATAAATCCTAGTCTTAACTGGTCATTTTGATTCTGACACCATCTTACAATTTCTGAACAATTAACTATTCAGTTATGTTCAGTGTTTCAGTAAGTTGTCAGACTTATCCACAGCGGTAAAAACTGTTCAGACAATTCCATTGCAGTCAATTCAGTACTGCTCATTAGCTTTTCAGAAAATTCAGTACGAAGTTGATGTGTCTACGTTAATAACAACTACTAAACAGTCTGAACATAGACTGAACAGATCTTAATTGATTGCAAGCGAACTGGCTGAACACTGCTGAATTAACCGCAGTGCATAATTCTGAAAATTGACCGAAGACTTAAAATGACTTAATGGTTTATTCTTCAGTCTGTTCAGACCTGTTCTGATCAAAATGACCGTTTCAGATCAAAATCGGTTTATGAGTGATCGTTGTCAATTATTTTGGGAAATTAAGTATTATGAATTTCGGATCAGTGCTGAAATTTGTTATTGTAGGTCTAAAACCTGATAAGGAATTTATCATTTAAGTTTTTTAAACTTGATTTTTAAGCAAAACCTATTCGATATATTTTATTTAAGTCATGTCAAAAAACGTACTAAAAATCGTTACATTCTGCATACAAATCAATTTTCTTAAACAAAAATCTACTTAGCTTAACCAGTATTGTCTTACAGATAACCATTACTATGCTAACATTTTGTTTTTAAGTCATCAATTTAGCAAAATAAAGACTGATTACAATAAAAGTTCGAAATCATTAGATAAAACAATCCTTAATAATAACTACATGTAGACCCTATGCATACATCTGAACTTAAAAGATGATGGTAGATGGTTGTTTAACGTCTAGCGGCAAATTAAACAACGTGTAGGACGAGAATATGATTGTGCAATATAAATATTAATCCTGTTTTGTCCTACAACGACATGATGAGCCGGATTTTAGCATGTTTGATCACAATGTAACATGTCTTCCTTTCCAAACATATTATTCGGATTGTTTGTTTTTATTTTTTTAATGCCAAGTGCTTAGTGTAGAAGGAGAGCAAATACCATTTTTAAGTCTTTGGTGTGACAAGGACAATGTTAGAACCCACGTCCTCCCGCACTCGAGACGAACACGCTACAACAAAACAACCGAGACGGTACCTGGAGCTTAAACATAAGGACAGAAATTACAATTACAACACATTTTGTTGCGAAGAGTATTTGTTTAAGAATGGCAAAAAGCTCAGATGCTGTAAAAGGATCTATAAGTTAGTATTTTACTTCCACTTATGAATCATTTAAAAGCTCTATACATTGCCAGAAAAAATCCATCCGAAAGTAGGACTTTTATGAATTATCCTTATCGTTTAACATAGGTTTAATCAAATTTCCCTGTCCCCAATACTCAATTGTATAAACAATAAACCAACAAATTTGTCTGAATTGAATAGCAAAAATCATAGGCAGAGTTGTGTCCATTAGTAAACAGTGAATAGTATTCAAAGTAAATATTCGGCATGTTGAATTGGATATGCATTTAATATTAGAGGTAAACATGTATAAAACATTCAGTACAACAACATAATGCGACCACAATACATTTATTTTATTTACAATGGAAATTTCTATCAAAGACATTTGGACTATTGTCACACTTTTTGAACTCATCTTATTCTAATAATCACAAACGCATTACGTATAGAATTGTGATTGGTTTAAAAATTAAACGTCACATTAACTGAATTTAAATGATAATAAAATTGATAAACTAGCCTACCTCCTGATATCACGTGGTTAGTATTGTATAAATAAATCCCTCAACCATGTCAATTTAGGGAAATGCGCATGCTTTGTTATAATGTATGCTGTTTAATGTCACACTGCTTAGTAATTCGGGAGTGTATTATTGTTATTATATTTACCTGCAGAAAGATAAACTTGTGTCTGTTATCGCGTGTTATCTCGCAAAGATAGACCTTGTCCTATACACATATGTTAAAATCTCATTTTATCAGTAATTCAACTCTAAAATGATCACACTTCATATTCGCATTTACATGTAAATCTCGTCATGTAAATTTCATCATGTTAATTCATCAATTAGTTATCCGGAAGGCTATTTACAAGTACTGTTTTCCAACATACACACATGTATATCTAGTTTGTAGATCAATAATTTATTAATGTGTCACTCTTTTAACAAGTTTGTAAAGCTGCTACTAAACGTTTATCAAATAACAATGAAACGATGTAGAAAGTAAAGCATTGTTTTATTCTATTGGCGACATATTAAAAACTCGATCCACAAATATTTCCTCGTCATGTATTTTAAAACCGAAAGAAAAAATCTTTTTACAATGACACACTTATTAGTTTTCAGTTTTGGGAACGAACAAGTTAAACAGATTATTTCAATAAAAACAGGAAAATAAACATCTACTATAGGAACTGTGCATATACCTGTTGGAATATTAATTAAACAGGCTGATATCTACTTCTCAAAAATGATCTCTCAATTGTGAGTAACAATGTTTTCAATCAAGAAAAGGGTAGCCATTGTAACGCTGAAGCGCTTGAAATATAGCTCTAGTTAACCGTTAATATATCCATACTGAATTAATTCGATTTCTTTTTAACAGCTGAATTTGAAAAAGAAACAACTGTTTCTTTTAACTAATAAGCACCATTTAATACATTTTTATGCTCATATTTTGTCTAAATTATTGATTAATTGGTTATCAGGGCGAATCTTTGAAAAATTTCAATAGAAAAATAAAAAAAATATTTCATGAAATTCGTGAAAGGGTAGACTAGAAATTAACAGGGTGAACATCAAAGACTTATATCCACAAATATCATACAAGACAAAATGCATTTTAAGGACCCAACAGAAAAGTTTGCTGCTTTTGATGGTTAACTAAAAGACATCCATCAAAAAGTTTACAGTTTGGTCGACCGTCATGGGCTATCTGTTTTACAGATCTTCACGCTTGTGATCCTATTGTTGTAACCCCACATCCGTCCAATTAACCTCGAGCTCGATTGTACCACCGAATGAGACTAAAATAAGTATCGAATTTGTACTTACCACGGGCAACACGACAGGTGACCCTAGATAGGGCTTTAATTACCCTTTATGAGCACCTAAGATAATCTCCAGTTTTCTATTTTTTTCAGTTTTGTTGACTTGTTTGTTTTATTCGTCTTCTTTCGATTTTTGCCATGGCCTTGTCAATTTTTCTCAACTTCTGAGTTTTCAATATCCGTCGCCTCTTTGTTTTCAGCGCATATCAGTGACTTGAATGTTACCCTACTTTTCTTCCCGAAAAGATTAAAACAAATTTTCAGGATATTACTTCAAAATACTGTAACCAGCGGAGGATTAAAGTATTTATAGGGCCAATCTTTTATTTTTTCTCTTTTTGTCTTTTGGATTGACTTGCATCTACACGATCAACATTTAGTTGCACTTTTCAACATCGGTTGTTTGTAATTATCTGTCTATAACTAGATACATTGCATCTTTTTGCTTTAGTTTATCATTTATGTAATAAAATCTATCTAACAAACACAAAAACCCATATCATACAGGTATATTAAAGTTTCAATTACCATAGAAACAGTTTTTACAAAAACAACAAAAAAGCAAACATAATATTTTTTTTAAAACCTTTACTAATAGGTTAAACTAGTTTAACAAGCATATCGGTTTGGGCTTTCGCAACACAATGTGTTCGATAGGAACACACAGTATTTATGGTTATCTCTACATCAAGCAATTCTAAGCATGATATCCTATTGTATTTAGAGTTGTAATCCTAATCATGTGGTAAGACTTGGCTTCTTTGGCTCTCTCAAGATTGTCTTGGCCCAACTCATTCAGAACAAGCATTCTGTGAGTATTGCATGGCAATACATAGTCCCCTACCGGTTACAAATTCATTGTAATGGAACGAAATTCTAACTTGATCTATAACTTGTCATGGTGACAACTACATAAAAATATCAAGTCAAAATTTTCAAGCATGACGAAAAAAACTGTTGAAAACTGATAACAGATTGACAGACAGACAGACGGACAGACAGACAGACAGACGGACGGACGGACGGAGTGCAAACCTAAAGTCCCCTTCGACTTCATCGGTAGGGGACTAAAAGTTGACCTTAGGATATTTTAGCAAGGCTTTTTACGGTTTTTTTCCAGTAATATAGTTCATACGTTTCTACGTACATGTATTTCTACTTCTTTGGCTCTCAAATGTTTAGTTTGTTCCTGATAGATATAAACATAGAAAATGGCCTCGTAGTCACGAAATGTATATAGTATTATTTCAATTTTCAACTGTAAAAAAAGTTAAGTTAAAGGGGCATAGCTGTCAAATTCATGTTCACCGATTTGACTCAAATTTCATATTTGATTTATAACATACTAAAACGTATATCCAAATAATAAAAAGTCTAAAATAAACAATTTACAATGCACGGACTCGATAATATGTATCAGCATTTCGTGTGTATTTAATCTAGACGCCATCTAGTTAACCATCGAGGTGAACTCCAAAGCCTGCCGATTTAAACATAAACAAAGATATAAATACATAGCAAACTCGTGCAATTGGATTTTTCTAGGTCTGTTTGATTTCATATAAAAGGTTTAAAAAATATGCTAATAATCTTTTTTACCTGTATAACAATGATTTTTTGTAGATCGAATCAGTCAAACAAATGGTCACCCTTGTTTCACTTCAATTCACACAAGTGAATAATTCATTAGCAATGTTTCTTTGCTTATTTTGACAAAACTGAACCAAACTGGCTGCTTAAACCGAATTATCATCTCACTATTTCACTTTCATTAATGACTGAACAAAATAATCATATTTCATTTTTTTCTGTATCTCGTAGCTAATGCCCCTTTAAAGAAATGTCTCCAAAAGAATCATCAGTGGCGCTCGAGGCAAAACATAGAATGCAAATGAAATACGATGTAGATAAGCATTTACAACAAAGGGTTTCAAAAAGTAGTGCCGAATCTTGCTATATCCGTTTAATCCTCGGATAGAATTTTGAATCATTATAACAGTTTATTAGCAGTTAATTAAAAGCAAAATTATTATTTCAGTGATATTTAAGCACAGGAAAACTGTCTTCTGAGCTTTGGTCCCATAAAAGACAAACCGGTTGTCAGCAGTGATATCGAACCAGCGGTTGTAAAAAAACGTTATAAACGTGATAGATATTTTCACGTATTTTGTGAGATTTTTTTGTATGTAATAGAATCCAGCTAAATCGACCCGACATGTATTTGTTACTTGTATGGTACATTTTGAACTTTAAAGGGCTTTTTTTTCTGACCTTTAACATCATGATCAGTTGTTATAAATCCTTTTTAGACATTCTTCGATGTAAATCTCAGTCAGGTTTAGAAAATTTGTAAACATTCAATCAAAAAGAAATTTAGTACGTTTTTTGACAATGAAAGACAGTTATTGATACCACTGAACAGATCAGTAATACATTCAGAAGGAATGTCTGAACATTTCATTTCAATGATAGCATCAAGTAAATATCGTTAAAGTTGATCTATGTTATAATTTATGATCCAGATGACATTTTCAGTCCCATGTATCTCAATAGAAATGGAATTAATTCATATTTTCATTGTGTATATTCTTATCTATTAAGGTAAAAATATTGAAAAGACAAAAGTGTTGCCCATATACATATACAAAAATGTACTACTAGTTATAGTTCTTGTACTTTGTCAGTAACGAACACGTAGAAAGTGTTAGATCGTAGTATTTCAATAATATGATTGATTGATTGGTGATTACTTTACGCGGCATCATCAATAATAAAAAGCACTTGTATAACGGCACATACATTATTTTTATTGACAGAAAAATTGATTTGTTGTACAAATTTACCAAATAAAGGTTTAGAAGTTGTAAACATGCATGTCAACTTACCCGGATATAGAAATTGTAACGCAGAGTTAATTATTAAGGTAATCTTTGGAAAATGATTACATCATTATGACAAAACATATGCGTAAATAGTCCATCCAATCGGCGAACTTTGAAATAAACAAATCCCTACGCGATTTTCATGTATATTCGTCTGATGATGTTTGAATAAAAATTATATCCTCACTTTTAAAAAATACGCAAATAAAAACGTTCAACTTTATAATCATTGTTAAACACACTTTACATAATTATGTAAGTCTGAAAGTTTTATGGTCAAAACACGTTCAAATTTCAAACTTTACACGTCATGTTAATAATAGATTTTTATTATATAAAGCATAATAATTGTGCAACATATGTTGTTTCAATGCTAAAACATGTTAAAATGTACAATACATTTAGTAAAAAGCGTCTGTCTTACTGCACAAGTTAAGTATGCGTTTAATTTATTTATTAAACCAAAGACTTAAAGGATAAAAGAGATAAAGCCGAATAACGATGCGTGCTAGTGTACATTGATTGCTTTCTTATTGATCTATGTCCTTTATGTCGTTTTATTCAAGCATAAATTTATAAAAAATTCTTGCAAGAACTCTTGAACAAATAAACGCGTTCAATCAACCAATAACGATATGATTTGCAGTCATGCAATATGCCTATTGTCCATCTATAGTAATTACTGTCAGAGTTTGGGGACGTAATTTTAATCCATTAGTGACTTGTCAAAACAGTTTTCAGAAAACTATCCCATATGCAAATTATAAGATTTATAATCACGTTTTGCTCTCTTAAAAAGGACTACTGTTAAATGTTATTGTAAAATTATTATCAGAATTTTGTGTTGTTTTTAGAACAAATCAGAAAATAAACAAACACCAATACAATACTTCATGGACAAAGCAAAACAAAAAGGGGGGGGGGGGGCGGGGGGCGGGGGTTGTTGGAATTATTGACGCAAATTAACCCCATCTTTTTTTTTTTGAATTAGGAAAGGATGTCAACGATAATGGTTCTATTATGCTAAAACAATTTGCAAAAAGTAGAGAAATTAACTGGAACAATAGGGAAGTCGTTCAATTGGGGTTTTTTTTGTTGTTTTTTCAATATATAACATAAGTAAAATAAATAGATAGAAACAACCGCCTCGTGTTCCAAATTTTGTTTAAACATAACATTCTTATTTGATTTATAATCGGTGAATTAAAAATCATACTATTAGGCATTGATTTATCATTCATTTCAATTTTTCCCCTAATGCATATAGTAAATATTTTAGGATCAATACTGTGTACTATAAATATCGTGTATTTAGTTATAGTGTGGATCAAGAAGTTAGCTTTTATGATCAATATACATTTTGTAATATGAAATATACATGATATACATCAGATTACAAATACACAGATTTTTTTCTATAAAAGAAACTGGTACGTTGTTGTTATTTCAAGCATGTCAAAGGAAATGAACATTTGCTGGCTATCATCCGGCAGTAAAGAGCAAAGTACAATCATCACCATGAAAACGCATTCCAAACAAAACGTTTAGTTCATTTTAAAATATTTGGATTACATAGCACATAGTATCCTGTTCTACACTACCAAATAAGAATAAAAGGAGACATGAACAATCCACTTAGAATTATTTGCCTATTGACGTAGAAACGTTGACAATATTTGCAAACATAAGAGTTGAATGATAACAAAAAAAATGATATATTCAACAACAAAAGAAACGTACCACCTCCATTATTTCTTTGAAGTAAACATATCAATTGTATATATATAGATTCTACCACTGCATCGAGTGTGATGCGATATTTCTCAACTCAAGACAGTTACATTTTCAAAATTAAAACGCGAGGCTTGAGATGAGATGAAATGAGAGTTTAATTGTTGAACGATAGATTTAAAAAAAAGAAATAAAAAATGACAGAACGTATAACGGTATGTTTGGTTTGCTTCACCAATTGATTTCTTCCAAAAACATAAACATGTACGAGCTGATACATCGTATGTAAACAAATGTCTGCTTGACATATTTAATCTGACACGGTCACTTTGAATAGAACAGATCTTAAAAGACTGATCGATTTTTTTTAAATCAAGTTCAACCTTTCAGTTAATTTTCAGACTAAGCCACTGTACTGCACTGTTCAGGCAATTCGCTTGCAGTCAATTAAGATCTGTTAAGTTTATGTCCAGACTCCTTAGTAGCTGTTATTAAACTGTACAAAGCAATAACAAACTGAATGTCTCAAAGGGTACTGAATAGATCTAGATTGACTGCAAGCAATCTGTCTGAACAGTATTATATTTACTAAAAGACATATCTTAAAAGTAACTGAATTTCTCGACAAGACGGAGCGTTGTTAGTTTCAGACTTTTTAGAAAATGTTTAGATCACAATGGCCGTTTAAGACTAAAAGTCATTTACTTGGTAAATAAGACTAATTCTGATTGACAGTTATTTAATTAGACTTCATATGTATAAACATGTTGATAAAGAGGAAACTGATTTTTGGTCTACTTATCATTATTGTTATTGTTGAGCTAATATAAATGAATGAAACAAATCTCGAAGCAAATTAAGTTCATAAAATATCTTAATTTGATAAATTTTGAGTTAATAAGTTCTACCTACCTTTCGTTCTTTTCCGCCTCGGTTTTGGGAAAATTTTATTTATATTTTTCAAAACCATGTCATCCTGGGTATCATGTTTTCTCTTCCTCTCAGTCTTTTTTGTTTTTGGTGACGTTGATTTATTTTTCTTATTTGTCTTCTCAGAATGTTTTTTCGCTATGCCACGTGATATGGTCAAATCCGTTACAATTACGGCATCACAACTGGTAATAACTTCTTCCCATTTGTTTGCTGCAAGTTTGATACCACCATTGTGTTTCTCCTTATTTTGAATGTGGTATTTTGAATGTTCATGTTTTTTGTCTTTTTGCTTCAAGGCAATGCGAATTTTATTGATTGGCTTAAAATGTTTCTCCTTTTTCTTGTCCGAATTGTATTCCCGTATTTTAGAAACGCTATTTACATCATCAGCAGTCTCACATGGTTCAGCAATATAGAGATGATTTTCATCAATGTCTGATGATGTCTTATTAGATAAATCATCTGAATTATCAAGGTTTTCTCCGCGGAATGTTGGGTATAGGCTCTCAATGCATTCCATTGTCTCTGGGGTTTTTACTATTTCATGACGGTTTTCGGCTGACTGTTCTATTTTACTTTTTAGTCTTAAAAGTTGTTGTGTCTGTTTGATTTTCAGTGGATTGCATTCTGAACCTTTTCTAGATACAATCCTAGCACTCTTATCCTCTTCTTCATCGTAAATCATTGTTGCATCGCTGTCGTAGCCGTCGTGTTGATAAAGGGGCTTTCTAAGAATTATTTCTTCATGTTCTTTCTTTATAATTGTTTGCTTCTTGTCGTTCTTGGGTGGTTTTGGTAATGACCTTTTCGGTGGTTCTTCCAAATGACAAACTGACGATGAGGAAATCTCTTCATTTGTATTTGAAGTACTACCTGGCTGATTTTCTACTCCAACCTGCATACAACATTCAGTTCTTTCATCAGACACATCATTTGACTTCGCTCTACCTTTATCAGGGTCCTTTTCTAAAGGCACTATTGCCTCGGTTGCAGTATCTTGACCTCGGGATATATTTTCTTCAACTACGTAGATATTGAGTGTTGTACATTGAAGATCTGTATCGACTTCCTCCTGATTTAATTCGATTTCAGATATTTGCTCATCACTTTGAAGTTTTGTTGCATTAGTTTTTGGCAGTTCCTCATCTACTTTAGAATTAGCACACATATAAGGAACGTCCTTAATTTTTGATGATGTATCAACCGAGTTTACTGCTAATAACACTGGTGGTGGACTGGAATGTACAGTTTGAGACGCTGCGTTTGTTACTATCTCAGAAAGTGTAGGTTGTTCACAGTTTTGATTTGTTTCACTTTGTTTTTCCTCCTGTAAATTTACTAACGTATCAGACTGATTAATGATATTATCTTTCGAATAATTTCCATATGTTTCACTAAAGGACGTGTCGTTTGATAATACACGTGTCGCATTGTTGTTGTTTTGCTTTTCGCTTAAACATGAATCATTTTCTTTACCTGCGTTTTTATTTTGATTATCATCGTAAATTATGTTTATGTCTTCAGTTTTATCAGTGATAGTGATTTCATCCGAACTCAATACAGGTTGCATTTTTTCACCTGAGTGCTCACATGATGATATTTCATCACCGCCTGTTGCAGACGATGATTTATGATTGATTAAATTCTTAAATGTCAATTTTAAGTTAGTGACATCTAATTCTGTGACAATATTATTTGACAGTGCAATCTGATTTTCTCTTGTTTGTGTCTTTTCAGATGCATTACCTTCCTGTATTTTGCGACTCGTATTGGTAGATTTCACGGTGGATTTTTCTGTTTCAGTTAATAAGTCTGACCTGACTTTTGATTCAATATTTTCAGGGGATAACAATTTGATATTATCAAGTCCCTGCATGTTTGAATCAAAAATATCAAAGGCGTTTCTACTCTGATTGTTAACATTATTTGTGCTTAGTCGACTCAATGTTACGCGAGGACATTTGGCAAAATAGTTTGGACAGCGTTTTCGCAGCATTGAATCTGAAGAAACAAAGTTGAGCTTCTTGAAATCAGATATGTCCAAATTAAATCGATTTAGTTCTTTTGTTTTCTTTAACTTACTCCTAGGTCGGCCGGGGAGATTTTTGATTTTGCCAGGTCCCTTCTTTTCTTGCTTCACTTTATTCATCTCAAGTTTTCAAATAACAAGATCGTCTATAAGGTTATATAAGTGTGTTGATAAAATCATTTAATAACATCACCTGAAAAAAAAAATATGATAACTTCTCAGAATAATGCTGTAAATAATCGTAAATGACATTTTAAAAATAGATGCTATATTTATGATTGTGCATGTCATACCTTAATGCATTTATTTCAGTTTTTTTATTAAAAAAATGAAAATACATTTATAGTGTTGCTTTACTATCATAAGCCGGATGAATACTACACAGGTAAATCATGATGATTACACGCTACTGTATATTGTGTTGGTTTTTTTATTATTAAAATAGAACATGGGTATTGATTACTTGTATGAAACAGTCAGTAATTTTCATTATGACAATCGATCAACTACAACTACGATCTGTTTCATAAAATTATTGAAATAAAATACAATAAGACAACAGTAACAGGTGTTGGCATCTGTCAATAAATTATACTGCATCGATGTTAAACACTGGCGTTAATTAGCTGTCTAAATCGTTACAATGTGTAATTACAGGTATGAGAGTCTGGATGGGGGTCCTTACTTTCTTAATTTTTTAAACGTTTAGGGTAGTTTTTTATCTTTACAAATGGCGCTTATTCAGTAAAATTCTACTGAAAATGATTTATCATCAATCTTTTCTGTACTTGCTTAATATAATTTCTTTATTCTGTACATTGTTTATTTCTGTTCTTAGTATTATATTACCTAATTTTTTCCAACATTCATTCTTTTTACCTCTGATTCCCATTATTCTCCATTTTTTAGCTTATTTTTTCTATTCATTATTTGTTTTAGTCGTTATTTTCTATTATGTAAACCCCAGCCAGACCCAAAGGTATTACTTGACAGGGGTTACATAAAATCTTCACATTGTATCACCAAATTTTAACATTTAGAGCTGAAACACATAAAGACATTTTCCTTAAACAAATTTTAAATGTTCTATCGAAAATGTCGTCAGATAAAATTACCCAAATCATTGTACAATAGTAAAGAGATATTCAAGCGTCCCATCCTTTGAAAGCATTAATTCTGCAGGAAGACTTCCTTTATTAGAATTCAAGTTTAGACAGTTCAAGAGGATGTTTACATAAATTCGTGTTCGATAACATATATCGAAAAATCAATCAGTTTAGTATATTTCATCTGAAAGAAATGCAATATGACATATATATAGGCATACATATGTAAATGAATATTTAAATATGTATTTATGCATACATGTAGATATGGGTTAACTTCAATAAGACAGTACACCAAACATAATCTAGAGGTCAACATGGGATCCTTTACTGACATGTGCTCTCACAGTATGTCGATCTCAAAGTCGTCAACAGACTCGAAAAGTAGTACATAAATTAGATAAAGACTAACCCAGTTTTGCGTTAACACCAGTTCCCCAAAAAAGACCTAAACGGCCATTAATATATGTCCAGGAACTATTGAGATTTCTGGCTTAGGACATTCACATGCACATATGGCGGGATTATGCTTTACTTGTTTAGATCTATATTCTATCCGTCTTTCTATTTCGAATCAATATTTGTTAATTCTAACTTGACACTATGCTCCCTTATCTTCGGTAAAGCCTATCACAAAAATGTTCACATCTTGCTTTCATAACCAGAATATTTAAATAAGGACATGCATGTCTTGTTCAAAAGCAACATATACAGCATGCGACAATGTTAAGTCAAAGACTCGTGAAGTTGGTAGAATACATTAAGAATTATTTTCTTTTAGTTAGTTTGTTTAAGAATTATATTGAGTATCATTGAACTTTCTTGCATACCAATCGCTTTGATGTCAATCGTAATTGTTTTTTTTTTATGTATTTTGATTATAATGATAAAAAAATAACAAACAAAGAATATGTACCTCTGATAAAAAATGTATTGTACAACTGTTGTAAAGTTTTTACTTTGTTCTTTCTTTCTTTCTTTCAATAAAATCACATACGTTAAGTAATAGTTATATCATATTGATGCAATAATCAATATATAATATAGTAGGGTTGTAGTCGATCTTGCCGGTATGAAAACTAAAATTCCACATGTATGCATTAAACTGGTCATGCGACAAGGATGTCCAATTAGCAGTACTGTTTACATTCAAAATTAAAATTTAAAATTCGACATTTAGATTAGTTAGTTGCTTTTGGTATAACATAATAGTTTTTCTGACAATTATATTGAAATATCTTTATCTTAGAAAATTATGTTTTTAAAGTATATTTAGTTATCAATCCACTAGCACTCACAGTAATTCAAAAAATGTAAAAAAAACAGTGAGTTTGACTGTCCCTCTGGTATCTTTCGTCCCTCTTTTATGGCACTGTTACTGGCAGAAAAAAACAGTAACAAAAACAACAAAAATGATTGTGATAAAACACTTAATTCTACATGCAATATGTTGAAGGGGCATCAGCTGTCAATTTCATGTTCAACGACTGGACTCAAATTCTCATATGTTAAAAAATCAGTGATAGTGACTTCATCCGAACTCAATACAGGTTGCTTTTTTTCACCTGAGAGAATTCCGTTTTTATTAATACTTGATACTCAAAGAATCGTAATTCACATTTTTGTCTAAATCTTAGCTTATGCTTCTTTAACGAAAATGAAATACGATAATAAAGTAAAATATTAGAAACGATCAGTGGGATATTATTAGATTGTGTCTTTGTCCTACTATAACATTACACGGTTATCCCATAAAAATGAAATCTACCAAAATATTCCAATTATAGGATTTTATGACACTGTAATAACTTTTTTAACTTTTCAACAAAAATGTTTTAACGTAAATAATTAGAGCTTATTTAATAAAGCTATAATAATACTATGTTTCAATTGTAAACAAAATTGAGGCTAGTGTTATTAGTGTTGTATCACGGATCTTTGGTCTGATTTTCTTAACGTTGCATTTCATGAACATATGAAATAGTCTGCTATAGACAGCGTTATAACCTTTTCTGATCGTGTGGCTTGAACAAAACATCAAATGTTCAGTTGAAATACATCATTGGATTAAGATACTTAAACATACCAATATTGTCGAGTAAAACGTAAGAATTACAGTCCATTCCAATTGCAGTTGAGTAACACAAGGTTTGGACAATGTCTTTGCATAGGGTAAAGTTATTCGTTATTTAATGAACTGATTTGAAATTCAGGTATATTGTTTAACATGTATAAGATGGGGAGAATTTAATTCTAGTTTGTTTTATGTCAGTAATGGTGTGCGTTAAGTGGGTGTTGTATCACCTAACTTGTTTAATTTCTATATAAATGACTTCAATAACAGATTAGCAAAAGCTTGAAAATATCCGAAAATCATTTTTTAAATATACTTCTCAGAAGTGATTCATTGTATTCGTCAACTTTGTTTGTATCCTGTTTAAATAGAATATCTAAGTCTAAATTGAAAACAACGTTCAAACCTATGATTGCGTTGGATAAAAACCGCAATTTTTATACGTGTGCATGCAAAACAAATTTCTTGGTAAAGGGGTCTAAATACAGCACAAACAACATTTTCCAAAAGACCAAAAAAAGTGAAAAAGTATATTTTAACAAAACGCATTTGACTAGCAGGACGAACAACGGATATTCTTAAACCCTGCTGACTGCCATTGGCGATTGCCAAATAAACGGATCACCAGATGTAACAAAATGGATCTTAACTATTAATTTAATACCAAACAGAAAACAATAAACTTGCGGAAAAGATGGTATACCGCAAACAAAAGGTGCAAAAATTAGTACATCATATCCGGATTTCGACAATTAATGTCTCTTCAGTGATGTTAGGAATCGAAACGGTATTTGGTAGGCCATATAGTTTACCTCAATTTAGGATAGACTCTTGAATTTTGAAGAGTCGAAATAGGATGAACGGATCATATAAACCCAAAAGAAAATATAATACAAGCCCGAACGAAAAAATATAAACAAGTCTAAATTGAAAACAACGTTCAAATCTATGATTGCGTTGGATAAAAACCGCAATTTTTATATTTGTGCATGCAAAACAAATTTCTTGGTAGAGGGGTTTAAATACAGCACAAACAACATTTTTCAAAAGACCAAAAAAGTGAAAAAGTATATTCTAACAAAACGCATTTGACTAGCAGGTCGAACAACGGATATTCTTAAACCCTGCTGACTGCCATTGGCGATCGCCAAATAAACGAATCACCAGATGTAACAAAATGGATCTTAACTATTAATGTAATACCAAACAGAAAACAATCACTTGCGGAAAAGATGGTGGATCTTTAGAGTCTGAAATAAAGATTATCTAATCTTATTTTGTCTTGACTTAATCAGTTTTCAGAACTTTTCAAAAATTATGGAACGATTAGGAAACTATGATTCAAACTCCCACACGTAAAGTTGAACTTAGTTGAATTTTGTTATTTTTTCAGTTCTCTTCTGGTTATATAGTTCCTACCATTTCTACGTATTAATACACTTCTAGCTTTCAAAGGATTAGGTTTCAAAACTCTCAATTGACGCACGAAATTTATTAAGTGGTTTTTCCATTAATTAAGTAAATAACAATGCAAAACGTCTTTACAGGTACCAGATTTATGATATAACACCCCATATGCGTGCATTTCTTCTTCATAATACTCATTAGTGGAGCTCAAAGAAGGGGAGGATTATGAAAATATGAAAATGAACAACTTAGCCTGGTAAGGACGGAAAATGAATAACTTGCACAAGACGATATGAAAATGAATATTTTGAACACAAAATGCAGGAAATAAATGTGTTAAAACGTGAGAATATGTTATCCATCCAGGAAAAGCCTCATGACCCCTCCCCTCCCCACCCCAAAATATAAAATAGTCGTCCACTAAACTGAATACTTATACGAATTTGTAACAATAACAAATATTCTGTATATTTTAACATCAACGTATGCGTTCTCCAATACCGTCATTTTGACTATTTTGTTACGATCTTTTATTGTCCTTCTATATATCAACGTTTATATTGTAAAATATATTTAAAAAAAGATTTTATATATCTTCTTTAGTTTTAATGACTTGGTAAATGTAAATGTTACATACAGAAGTTGGAATTCACGCAGCTTATCTAGGACAAACCTTAAAATGAAACTCGTTCAAAGCTTTATTATCAGGGAAAAAAATGGTAAAAGTTATATGTGTGGCGACAAAAATATCGATAATTTAACATCCGAGGACCTATTGATTTCACCACTAAACCTTTATTACGCACACCAATCAAGATCGACGTTAAAATCGACTTGAATAAGAACAATTCGACCTTGTCGATATTGTGTAGTAACCTTAAGTATCAAACATTTTGTACATGTCTTCGTTAATGCTTATTTTATTCTTTGTTTGAGTTACCGCATTAAGGTGTTACTTTCATATCTCAACAAATTTCAGTTTGTTTAGATACGCTGCAAATTTGATGCTTTCATTTTGACCTCATATTCAATCACAAATATTCCAGTGATTAGAAAATATTTCCTTAGATGTCCAATAGAAGTCAGCATTGATTGTTTAATAAGGCTTTGATTTTAATATATTTGTTATTCTTCTTTTTTTTAATATTAATAACGTTTTATTACATATCATTTGCAATAGCTTTCATTTTATGTGGTTTATCTAAAGGCGTAATATGTGAAACATACTTTGAAGATGTCAATAAAGAACCATGCATAATTCACATTCAACAAATGTATTTCATTGTTTTATTAGAGATGTTCAAGCAATATCACTCGTTTTTTATCAAGATAGAAACATTTATCATCTGCCTTAGTTTCGAATCTTTCGATCATACATAAGATAAAAAGATTCAAAAAGTCTTTTCATCTTTTTTAAAAAGAGCAAAAAAACCCTAATAAAAATACATATATGAGAGACTCTTGTTTCTTGATTAATTAGGGTTATACCTTTTGAAAACTTGACAGTTGACATAATGCAGTAGGTAATGTTGACACGCTCATTTACTTTTAGTCATTGCAAACATTGGAATATCAATAGATAGTAACATAAATCGTTTTACAAGTTTAAATGATTTTGTTTCAAGCGCTTGATTTCATAGTAATTGACTTGATTAATTTATTAAATTATTAGTCACTTATTCAAGTTATGAATATGTGCTTATACCGATGAAACCTCTGTTAATCTTACATATACTATGAAAATGACACTTTACAAATTGTATGTGTGCGTCCGGAGCGCTTTTCTGGATTTAACATCGTCATGAAAACTAAAACCTTAACATTCCAGGAATGTTTGAATACGTAAAATCGTTAGGAGCTATATGTTCAATAGCCAACGAAAGGGGTTATTAAGTTCATATAAGATAATATTTACCTGAGGGAGTTGGAAACTTAGTTTCCTAGTAATGTCGTAATTTATCAACGAATGATTTCAGAATAAGATGCTATAAGTCATGTCAGTACCGAAGCACTGACTACTGTGTTGATGAAAACTTCGAGGACACCAGTCCACCAGCAGTTGTTTTGACTCAGTGCTCGTAATTTAATAAACACTTAAAAAATTGCGTACGTATGAATTACAACAATCATTAAAATCTTTATTGATTTTGAAATTAAGTAATGTTCCAAATAAACTAGAAGTTATACTGTGCAGGTTATTTTCGTTTGTGTTTTACGGCATATGGTCTAGATAGCCAACGTGGGTGATTTGTGCTCACGTTAAATAGTTTATTCAATTATCAATATGTGCCTATACCAATTCAAGCTATTTGAACCTTGCGTTGTTTGTTCATTGTTGCTTTGTTTAAATATACGTCCATTTTCTCGGAAGAGTCTGAGTATTGTGAAGAGTGTGTTATGATGTACTGTCCAGTGTTTGTAGGGGAAAGTAAACAAGGTCATGACTGAAATTGGCTAATAAAGGCAAATTAAACACTACATAAGTATATTTCTTTAATTTCAGTACAATCTTTTTATTCGAGAAATCTGGAACACACTTCACTTCTTTGTCTTCTAACTTCATCCTTATACGTCTTCTCCTCTTGAATGACTTATATCAGGGTTTTACCGTGGCTCTAACATTTGAAATTTGTTATCCTGATACGAGGTCGCACTATATGCCAGTAGCCTTTTAGTGATCAATATTTATCGGACTTATAACAACGACACTAAGAACGCCAGTAACTATATTCTCGACTGAAATATCTATTTCGATCGGAACTGGTTGCTTAGCGGATCACAATGAATTATATGCGAAATGATAATACATAAACTGTAGGGAAATCATGTTTTAAAATCTTAACATTAGAATTAAACAATTAGAAACATGCTTTCAGTTTGTAGCTAGTTACCATGGAAGGTTCATCTGTCAGTTATACGCGCCTAGCATAAATGATTAAGTTCTATATTGTCATGTTTGAAGGTGAAGGAGTCATATGAAAAACCTTTCAAATATATGTATACCTAGTCAAATAAGCGTTTAATTCTTTAAGTATTATGTTTCTTACAATCGTCTTCAACTGAAAATTGTTCTTTAAGTACTATATATAAGTGACTGAATATTTGAAGGTAATGCATCGATATCATTGAAAATAGCACCAGCCTGGCCACAAGGATGAAAATACAATCAGAATAAAACAAGGACCAGATGTATAGACATTTGATGGTATGCATGCGTCCCAAGGCCATACTACTACAATGTCATATCCTGTTTTAAGGATTAGGGTAAGGGACATTACAAAAACCAGTAATAATGTCTGATTGACAATAGTTGACAGCTGTGGTATCTGAGACAAAACTTAAATCACAAGATCAAAGAGTCTTAGACAGTTTATTTTTGATTTAGGTTATTATTCATATGAATCTTTGTTTACATTAAAGCGCTTAATATTGTCTTCTCCTGTTTTTATCTTTGATTGTTTGATTAGTCCTGTCCTGTCCTGTTCGTTTTGTTTTTGACTTGTTTTTATTTTCTTCTAACTATAAATATATGTTTTTAGTGTCTACTTGTATTCAAATTCATACCAAAATTGACCATATGAATTTGAAAAGTCTAACTATTTTAGCATTAAACAGTTATTTCGAGTAAATAAAACTAAACAGGCAACAAGTCATTTCTATGAAATATACTGGAACAGGAAAACAGTTATTTCTATTAAATAAAGCTTAACAGGAATAGTTATTTCTAGAAACTAAGACGGAATCTGAAATAATGCTTTTTAGATAAAAAGGAAATGAACTCTAGAATAATAGAACGACTAGTCATGGGAGACTGTTATCATTGTTCAAATACTGCAGATCCGGTAATGTTGATATGCTAAGTCCCGTTTCTATGTTTAATCGATATATGTTTCTTATCATGCACCTACATGTAGCTATATCGCGTTTGTCTACGTTAATGAAAAAACAATCCAATTGGAAGCTTGACAAAACAGATCAAACATTTACTAGAAGAAAAGGTTATGAGTATTGTGAAGTGGAGTGAGTGTAAAACGATTGATTGAACGAATTCAATATTCAAATTTAAAAATACTTCTGATTCATAGTGTCATATGAGTTGAGCTTATTGTCAATATAATTGAATACATTTCTTTGAAGAGAGTAAACATTGATCACGTTGAATTGGAAGACAACTCTGATCTCTTTAGCCATATCATTAGTGGTTCAATCAAAAGCAGGATAAAAAATGAATGAGTAATGCCACGAATGTGATTCGACGATTTGTTTTTGACTGGTGTAAATTATAATACATACAACTGTCTTGAAAATAAAACAAAACATAAAATTCGGCTCTTTTTAACTTTTTTCTATAACAACGGTTTCAGTCTCATTTTCATTTGATTTTTGATTTTTGAATATATCAAGAAATTACCATTTTAAAGTTAGCAAAATTAATGGTGAACGAACCTATCAAAGTAACGAAAGCAAAAGGTTAACGAAACCTTTAGTGAATTATTTCATAGATACAAATATATGGTTTGTAAGGTTGCCTATTCTTGAAGAAAATATTTTACCTTCTCATTTTCCGGGAATGTTGTTAAATCGATTCCTTACGTTAAGATACGTCCGTATTAACTTATCGATCCTATAAATAAGCTTATTTAAAAAAAAATTCCTATAAAAACTGTAACAAGATTTTTGATATATTGTTTTTATCGGTATAAATATTGATTTTGCTATCAATAAATTATAACAGAACTGAATAGTATTTATACAGCTATGGACATTCACGGTCCTACTTTCTGTAGATACTTTAATTTTGGCATTACACTCTATCATATTTTCTCTGACTGTTTATACTAAAACCATTAGATGTGTGCCAATTTCTATTTTAACCTTAAATGCATTTTCGTATAGTTGCTGTTATTGAGTTTGAAGTAGCTTCAGTGACTTCAAGTACTCTCAGATCTGCAATTTGTGTAGTTAGTGTTTTTGTTAGTTGTTAATGTGCTTTGTATCGATCTGACTAGTTAAGCTCTTTTCACTGATTCTTATAATTTGTTCTTATGTTGTGCTGTCACACTACTGTCCAAGATTATGGGAGGGTTGGGCTCCAGAAAACATGTTTAACCCCGCAACATTCTGTATGTGCGTGTCCCGAGTCTTTCAGTGGTTATCGTTTGTTGATGTTGTCATAATTGATGTTCGTATATTGTTTTGTACATATACAAGACTGTTAGCGGTTTCGTTTGCATTGGTTTACGTTTGTAATGTCGGCCTTTAATATCATGTGATGCGGTATGGCTTTTTCTCATTGTTGAAGGGCGTACGATGACATATACAGCTGTTAATTTCTACTATCTCATGTCCCTGATGGAGTGTTTCTCATATGCAAGCGTATATCAAATTCTAATCTTAATAGTAGAGGGTAAAGAAACCGTATCTTTTAAAATAGAGTCGTTGTCAGAAATTGACAAACTTAATCGACTACAATTTTGGTAATGCAAAAGAGAGGCGAAAAATACCAAAGGGACATTCAAATTCATAAGTCGAACTTGTCTTACCATGTAAACCGTACTTTTTTTCCGAAATATATATGATTTGATGTGAACGAATTAAAACGACAATTGACGTACATGTCCATGTTAAGCATACATCGTAAGCTTAAATACTGTATACAAACTTTTAGAATACACAACCACGTCTAGCAAAATGATGCTGCATATAAGAGTGTTCAAATTTTGTAACAGCCACAATGCCTTTACATTGTACAAATATGACCAAGGCTAAAATATTAGCAAATTAACGCCGCAGTAATTATAGTGTACCTTTTGTGAGCTACAGCATACCATACAGTTATTTCCTTCCGTAAATTGTGTTATATATATGCTCTTTCAAATATGTACTTTTTCTAAAAGAAACAAAAACATGCCTGTCTAAATTTAATCTTATCAACAAAAGATATTTTACACTCGTTTAATTACAAAAATGCGTGTAAAAAATGACTGTTGCGCCATCAAACTACATTTAAATCATTATGTATAAAAACAACTACCCTCATCTCCGAATTGGCGATTTTACAGCTTGTTTAACATTGACAGTCCACAATGGAGATATGATTATTATCAACTTGTACCGATTGATACCACTATGCAGATGATACAGACATATAATCTTTTCTGATATGTTATGGTGCATGAGTTTGTTGTATAGAATTATCCGTGTATCCTATGAAAAGTTGCATGTCAAAAACTCTAACCATCCGAATACAGTATATGTAACAAAGGTTTAAATGCAAATAACACCGATAAAAATCCAAGGCTATTGTTAATATTGCAAAGCAATCAACATGATTTATAAAGATAACTGAGAGTTGGAACAAAAGGGAAAAAAACAAACCAAAGACGAAAAGGAAAAAAGAAACTACGCAAAACATCTCCCAAACACTATTTATTTTGGTATCGCATCGTCTTGGTAACGAAAAAAGGGCTTTATAAAAAGATCAGTTTTAACCATAAAGATCTAGTAGCATCTTATTATAAAACAGGTTCACTTTAATACAATTTTACTATGCCGTATGTTAAAGTAGGCCAAACGCCTTAAAAATCTGGGGTCTTTCGATTTGGGGTCCTTGTATAATAATTTGAAAATTGAGGTCAAGGTCAAGATAATATCTAAATTAGTATATTTGCTATTAATTGATTCTCTTCCAAAACTATAAAAAGACAACAGCAAAAACTGAAAATTCATGATTCTCTCTAGGGAGTCTTCTGTAGACAAAATGCCCATCTGTCATAGCAAACTAAAAGCCTTATATCTTTGATGAGTTTCTACATGAGTTATTGCCCCTGAAATGTTTTAATTAAGAATTAATTGATTCTAACATTAAACTGGTACAAGATAAAACCAAGTGGTCTTTTGCATAATGATTGGAAGAATATGCTCCTGTGAAAAACAACCTGAAGTGGCTATGTGGAAAATGGGAGTATCTGTTTCGCAATTCTTTCAAGAAAAATGCCTGACATTCACGAAGTTTCATAAATAGTGTAAAGTAATCTATCTTATGGCATATGATGCGACTTTTCTGTACATCGGAAGAAGCTTTTTGTGTCACTTATTTCGACGAAAAGTGCAAAGGAACAAAATTGATAATTAAATTCTATGGAATCCTCTTAATACCTTTTTCATCAAAACAAATTTAACCTTAATCTATCCTCAAATGTGAATGGGAGAGTGAAAATATATCGTTCTTTGATAAATAGACACTAAAAGCATAAGTGTTAAATTCGATGAACAAGTGTATTAAATTTGTTACAGAATGTATATGTTTACTTTGATGTACAAGTAATTTTGATTGGTTGCGAATTTTTAAGAGCACCATGCATGTGTTGATAACAGTGTCTAGTGTGAATCCTCCTTCTAAAGTAAAAATGGTAAATAAGGATGCATCTTTTTATTTATTCATCATTTGTTCAGACCAGTCACAGAATAAAAATTAGTTCGTACACATTTCCCTCATTAGTCATATCAAATGAATAGCACACATTTTTCGTTTGTTCCTTACCAAATATGACAATGTTATTGCCAAAATTGTTAGAACTATTCTCGGTCGTATCTTTTTAAGAACATCCGTTGGTATTTGAACGAACTTATCATATTTGTGTAAATATTTACACAAACTTGAACATGCTCATAGACATAGTATCTTTTTTGCAATTGTTTTGTCTGCTCTTGTTTTACTCATGATTTTTCATTATCACGATGATATTATATTACTATTTTATAGTACAGATACATGAAGTGTACCAACCCAAGTACAAATTCAGATTTCTCCATAATATTCTATCTTTTTTCAAATGTCCATATCAATATAGCTGATATTAAGTTAATTTTATATTCAAAACATTGCGGTTTTGTCATCTTTCAGTTTAACTATACTTACTTTTGGAGTCATTTTCTATAATACAAACTCATAAAGATACAAGGCTAATAACTAATTGTATGCAGACGTGCGTTTCGTCAGCATAAGACTAATCAATTGTCTTCGAATAAACAAAGTAGGAAAACATATTCAAATACAAAGTTGAGAAGCATTGCAAACAAAATATTTTAAAACGGTGTTCCGAATCTGTATAAATCATTCTATGCATGATGGACGACATACCTTAGTGTTTCGAATGATTTAAATTTGTATTAACAGTAACTGTTTTGAATAATTGACGGATGCCCTCGTAGACGATACGTCCACATGGAAGCAGTGACATCGACTTAGTGGCTATAAAACTCACCAAAGATACCAGGCGAGTAATTTACAATGAATGCGCGTTTCGCTGACATTACACTCAACTCCACTGTTGAAAACTTGTTTAGTACGTTGATTGAGGAATGAACCCATATAATTATTCTGGCACCGGTCTTTCAACAGCCCTTAGATTATCGTTTAAGGGAACGCTAGATATAAGTCTAATTATACCTTCTCTTTTTTGTTGCTGTTAACGTTATTATGATTTAAATACTTTAGACGTAAAACAAACGTGCCTTTGGCGAATATTCGAGTGCGCTTTAAACATATTACTCGAATTAATTCGGCATTCAAATAAATGAAGTATTTGAGAGCATTATGTTTTTATCTATGGTCAAATCTGTCCATGTAGAGTTCCCTAATTCACCAATTGTGATGTGCAGAGCAGGTAAAAATATGGAAAGAAATCTAATGAAGGCATGTTTCTGACAGCGATTTTTACTTTCACTTATTCATAAATGTCACTTAATTGGCTAGGAACAACCGATTCAAACTTTCATATCTAAAAGTTGATTTTTGTTTATCGCAAAATGAATGAATCTCAATGTTTGTTAAGATTTCGTTAAAAAACAAAATAAATAAGAAGAAGAAAACAATTTAATTTTATTTTAGTTATGATCGTATCGGACTCTCCGAAGTGTTTGAAAGAGACGATTCCTCTTAACATCATTAGAAACAAAAATAAATGGTAATAATTTACTTACATTCAATGCAATGTAGATTTGATACTTTGGTATCTTTAAACTTTTCGTATCACGGTCTTTGTGAGATAATAAATGGCCTTTGGTTAACACTCGTGATATTTACTGATCTAGATTACTTTATCTAAATGCACAGTTAGGTTTAAACAGGGTGTGCAATGAACAGATAAAACGGGTTGATAAATTGAAAGACATAGAAAAAGATAACATTCGGACTTAAAGGCTGTATACAAACATCAGTAAATTAAGAATATTAATTACATAAAAAAAAGATAAACAAAACAACAATTGAGCAATGTTCGCGCATATTTGCTACTTTATAGTCTTCTAAAACACAAAACGTTTTCGATTATGATAACAAAACCCTGTGAGTGAATATTTCAAAATCACAAACTAGGCTAACATTTCGAATTCAATGTCATATCCATTTGAAATGGAGTGTAATTGAGAATTGCTCTCCAAATTAATTTGTGATCATTTCTCAACATTCAATCCAATATATTGACAGTTTCATAAGAAAACAAACAGTCACGGAAAATGAAAATACTCTTTATTAATTTCGTTCGTCCGAAGGGCCTTCCTGTGTTTGCCTTTATAAGGAACGCTCATAACGACACATTTGAAAGCCTACCTGAACAAGTGAAGAGCTATCCGACCAAAAGGGACATCGAAAAGAAAATTCATCTGAGCTCAACCTTGACAGAGGAAGTTGGAACTTAAGTTTCTATATAAAAGTTGTTTCCGTTTTGAATTTTCCTCGGAGTTTTCCTCAGTATTTTTGTGATTTTACTTTTTAAAATCATGTCAGCACCGAATCACTAATTTGATAAGTTGCATTTCTGAAATATTTTTTTAGTAACAGTCATGTTAATACCAACATCTTTTGTTGAACCTCTCCCTTAGTGCACGCTCCGACGCTGTTGTCATTTTTGTCTTTGTAGTTTCCAATACGTACCTTTCCATTCGTCTGTTGAGTTCATGTTTATTCTGAATAATAAAGTAAAAGATTATATTTAACATTTTATATTGATCAAAATAGTTAATAGATCTGGGATATATGTCAATGAGACAGCATTCAAACGACAATAACAAAACAAAAACAAAACAAAAACACATACAGGGAAAGTATTGAACAATAGAAAGGTTTCGATAAAATTCCACGCCTGGCCTTACGAAAAGTCTGTTAAACGCAAATCATAAACTAAAATATTCCCCAACTAAATGCATTTTAAATAATATAACTGTTGAAAGCTAGTTGTGAACTACCACTGGTAATGCATGTCCTGTGGTTGGATCACACTTTCTGCAATACATCTATGAATTTGTGTTACAATTAATAAACGACTGGACCAATGCAAATATCTTTACATGTATTCTTGCTGTAAAAAGTTCTTTTAAACTATAGAACTGTGAAAAATTGTCATTTGTGTACTCTTTACGACTTATTTATTAAATGGTAAATGTTTGTCTATTTTACATGTATTTCAAGCGTCACAAATGTTAAAGAAGTATAACTTTAAAACATCATGATATTGAAAGCAATCCTAATTGTTATATTGTAAATATCCACTTGTTAATTTCTTTTACTTTGAACTTGTACCAATTCTATTTCGTGTGAAAAAAGAACATCAAAAAGGATAATATATGTGCGATGCTCGACTGAACGTACAAACTTTATTAACATATAAAATGGTTGACCTATTAACGAAAACAAGTATATCATTTTTTATTTTCATTTGAATTTGTAATCATGTTTACCTCATTTTGAAAACCTTTTGACACATATTGAAATAAGGTACAGATGGGCGTGGTCATAACTTGTACAAAGGTAAATTTTAGCAGACATTTTAACAGCTATCAACGTTAACTTAATATATCTTGAGATGACGAGCAAGTTTACTTTATCTTTGTGATCAGTCTATGTAACTCTGTTCTTTTATACCATAACAATGTTTAAACAATTACATCCCGATTGACACACAAAGCTGTATTTAACCTACAATTGTTATAAACAATTACTATCAGGCCATACACAAGAAGTTGAGTCCTATATCTGTTGATGCTATATTTTAATTTCCGAAACTGAGTTTGTTAATCGTGAAAATACTTAAAAAAATGTATTTACTGAAATCGTTCGTTATATTTTATAGACCTGGTCAAGACGCACACAATATACTAATTTTCGTTTCTCTTCGCAAATATAATAGATCACTTAGGGTTTATAAGGTTATCAAACGATTTGAAATAATATTTACGGTTGGAAATCTAAAACAAGGGACTGGTAAACGAAGAAATAAGCAAATATGAAAAGGAGAAAAAAATTAGAGATTAGCTTTCCTTGAATTATTTTTTATATTTAAAAAAACAAGGCAAATATTTGGTTTAAATGTCGGGAAAACATTATTTATTAAATTCTGACAAATCAGGTTAACAAATTATTGTAAAATTTCCCAAATTTGAATCCCCGAAAAAAACACTCCTTCCCTTAACAGTCATATCAATTTTTTTATTGAAAATTATAAAAAATTGCGGATCGTAACTCGCATGTTGAATAATTTTATTTTTCATTATCAGTTTGTGAATGTAGGAATCTATTAAAAAAACATTCATTAAAACTTTAAAGGAAAAAACATCATTAAAGAATCTTTTGACGATTTAAAATGGGGGAAAGTTTTTCTTCAGAAAAAAAAACTTTCTACGCATTTTCTCCTTGATTATTTTTCTTTTTCAAGATATGGCAATTATTTACAGTCGACCCTCATGTTCTATGTATGGCCAATGCAAACATAAACAGGTTGAACGAAATGTTATTCGCAAACTAGAACAAACTAAGCACTATCGATCTTTCATGCCAACTTTGGTTGGAATTTGGTTTGTAATTTCATCATGTAATTGAAGGTCTTCGAAAATTCAAAATAATTGGTTAAATGAGTAACTTTAAAGGAATGAGACCAATATAAAATCAATGGAAAGTTGCAGTAATGTAACTCATACGTAGATAATAAATTGCTGATCATTTAGTTTGTTTACAGTTTCTGTATATCGTTTGAAGTCTTCAAGATATAGACAAAACGCCACAAAATTTGTGTAATTCTATTTAGGGCATTTACACCTATAAAGTATCAGGAGTTCATACATGGTTATAGTCAGTTAACATTTTTGTCGATCATTTTATTGCTTATAATGCTTTGCTGTTATCAGTATCTCTCAATCTTTTAAAGCTTTCACGATAACAAGAAAACCTGGTAAAAATCGTCAAAATTGAGCTTTCATGACAATACTTTTTATGAGAAGTGAATAGATTGTTTCTGTCAAATTCGTAAAGATCATCAATAAAGGGCAATAACTCACATCAGAAGTCAATTCCGCGTTTCATATGTATTTGCTTTATGGTGATTCCGCATTTCTCATATTGTTTGCTGTGAAGATTTCTGTTTATATATTTTATGATGCTAGGCAAAAAGTGAGAGGTTTAACGCTATAAAACCAGGTTCAATCCACCATTTTCTACATAAGAAAATGCTTGTACCAAGTCAGGAATATGACAGTTGTCCATTCCATTTTATTTTTGGAAAGAGTTAGTTTTTCTCTTTTGCTGTTTTCACGATATTCGACAATATTTTGCGATGATTATCTATGTTTCATTTTAACCGTGGCGATATGGTGGGTGATTTGCCTAGACAAACCAAAATGCTTTTGATGATAGATAACCCTGTGAAATTTTAAGGCCGCATTTTTTTTCATTCAGACGAATGTAATTGCCATCTAAGTGATTGCATGTTTCTCATTTCCTCTCATTTTCCTAAAACTTGAGCAACGATGGTTTTGAAGGTGGACGATTTTGGCGAATATGGGAGCGGACGAGAATAAATGAACTAGATTGAAAGATAATTTTTTTTTTGATTTAAGCATTAGAGAAAACATTATAATAATATTCATCTACCAAAGTCATAACAACTATAGGCATACAACATATAAACTACATAATATATATATAAAATTGCAGAAAGTTTTGTGAAACATATTCCAACATGGGCACAAAATTTCATAGCTCTCTAAGATTATTTGAACTCATTAATTGTATATATTGATACATAGAAGGTTTAATAAACAACATCTAAGACCTTGATAAGTGGGACATTTTAGAATGAAAAGTATCTAATCCTCAATGTCATCCTTTCAAAAACTTTAACGTCAATGTAGAGGTAACCCTCTCAAGAAAGTTGCCTCCAAAAATTGTGCTTTTAGTAAATGCAAAAATTGTTTGTAGAATTATTTTTATATAGGTCTTTTAATTTTGGCATTGGCGCTAACAATTAGATAACATATAACAGACTTGTTCATTGGATTTGTTTTATCTAAATCAATCATAAATAAAAGATGAATTGTTTATAGGAAATCGACGCCCCGCTTGTAAATATATGGCAAATTCAGCAATTTTATAATTTATAAAGGGACATAACCCAAGAACGGCAGAAGTGAAATAAACTTGATCTCTGTTTGGTAGTAACAAGCATTGTGTATAAGGTTCATAACATTTGGTAAATTCAAAGTAAAATTAGAGTGCCGAAACGGCAAATTTAGCAATTTTTCCATTTAAAAAGGGACATAACTCGGGAACGATGAGAGAGACGCCACCCAAATTAAATTTGATCTGTGATTGGTAGTATTAAACATAGCTGAGGCAAACTAAAGTCAGAGAACGGAAACTTATTTCAAGACGTAAGGATGGACGGAAGGACTGAAGTACGGACGGACGTACAGACGGACAAGGATAAAACTGAATGCCCCTTCCACCGCGGTTTTGGATGTTAGGTGTTAATGCTTGCAGACATTATAAATGTTTTGCTTTTCAAAATTTTCAGTCACAAACATACGTGCTGAATATAATTAACGAAAAATGTTGTACTCATAGATATCATCTCGCTTATTTTGTTTTATTCTTTTTTTATGAATATGTTAGCAAAGTACATTAAAAAACATACAAAAATTCAAAACATACCCTGTACAGAAAATATCCTTTGTGCGTGTTATTTAAAGTAATTCGAATATTTAATAGATGTTTGGTCAACCTTGAAATCGAGCGACTGATTTCTATAAACAAGAGATTGAATGAATCGTTTAAGATTTAAATACCATGTGTTTGGTTGGTATAACATAATCAAATAACTTTGCTACGTGTTCCGGCTTGCTTGAAGTCGCATTCTTAAACTGTAAATCGCCATTAACTTCGTTTAAACATAACTAAATCGCGTCCATTGGATTTGCATATCAAATATAAATATGTGTTTTTTATATAAAATTATATCAATGCATTTAAACTTGGGAACGGATACCAGGCTTATAATTAAGTACATCAGACGAGTGTTTCGTCTACGTAAGACTCATTAGTGGAGCTCAAATCAAATCAATGACTAATATGAAGAGCATGAAAGCCAAACATTCTAAAATAAACGTCATATATTTATGGAGGCCATGAAACTATAATGTTTTCAATAATTTAGCACGAATAAATTGTAGATGAAATGAGACCAACAGATCGTTACGTTACATAATTTAGATAGTTATCTAAGTTAATGAGTCGGATATACTATTTGAATTGATTGCAGAGAGTATTTTGTACAATTGGGTGAGAGTCAAATTTGTTCAAAGAGTATTTGTCAAGAAAATGTAGGCAAAATGACACTTTGAGATAATTTCACGAAGAAAACAAAATGTTCATATCGATATGATCCACAATCTAGAATTTACAAATGTGTTTGATCAAGCTGAAATGTGGTTTGTTCAATGTTCACAACTATACATACAAAAACACAAAGATAATAAGATTATAATTTGGTACGTCAGACGCGCATATGAAGATACTACATGTATCATTTGCAATTGATACACTATCTTTAGTCTGATAAGCGCTAAAAAAAAACGCGGCGAATAAAACTTCAAGATACACGTCTGAAAAAAAGGCGTGTTCTTCCACGTAAACAAACCAAACGGAAAATAGTTTAAACATCCATTTGCCGACTTATAAAAATAATAATAATTATAATAATAATAATAATAATAATAATAATAATAATAATAATAAGGGGGTAAACACAATAACAACACCTTATCTTCCCTGAGAATCTTCCAAATTAAGAAAAGATGTGTACTTCAACGTGAACGCATCCCACAAATCCAAGACAGCCAGAATTTTAAGGATGTTTTGTTCGACTTTTCTTTAGGTAACTAGCTTCAAATTATCAGCTGGATTCCGGAAAACGTTTTATATTATGAGAAATAAGAATGCTTAAGCAAAAATTATCTTGAATTTATCATGTGAGTGAATCGATTATAATATTCTATGATATTTTACTCTGATAGTATTTTATTTGAAATATATATGATAGGTTATCTTTCTTTGACCGTTGACTATATATATTCATTTTATCAACGGCATTTGTCTATTGATTTTCATACTAACATTTTAACCGGTAGTATTATAACGTATAAACAAAACAAAAATGATGAAATATTCATCCAGTAATTATAACTTGAAATTAAAATCGTTGAATTGATAAAAAGAAATACTTCATATAAACTGGTTTTTATATAGAATAGAACTTTTGTACTTACGGAACGTCACCGATCCGGTCAAAGGTATTCCTTTAAGACCATGATTCATGGTCTTTGTATAATGATATGGTTGGTTAGATAATATAAAAAGACATTTATGTTGAACTTTAAATTTGTTATCATATTTTAAATCGCCACTACTGATTTATCATGTATCATACTTGCTCATAGAAGCGTTATGACATTTTTCTCATTGGTGCATTTGCACATTATGAATAATAAAAGCGATATAGCAATTTGTATGTATGCACTATGTTCGACAGACGGCGTCATTTAATTCAAACAGTTTGTTTTGCATATAATTAAGTTTAGTGCACGGATAAGACAGACTAGACTGGCTGTAAAAGACACTGTAAGAGTTCTAATTAAAGGATGACAAAAATCAACAGGCTTATAATTTGGTACACTACACACGCGTTTAAAGAATGAATCAAGAATAAAGTTTGGCCGAAATGATAAGACGTCGACAACATAATCATTTAACATTTAGCTTTTTTCTCTAGAACCGTGTAACTTGCTCAAAAAAGAAAGACACGTAAATGCAGGTGGTATTATCATTTCAAATAATGTACTCATGAACGACTTTCAATAATTTTCTCCAATTGAACAGTAAGGGAACACGTTTAATCTTCAGCGAATCCAAAAATCAATAGACGTAGCATTATAAAGATGGTATGCGACGTTCAGTAATTTTTGCATTCATGTATATCAAAGTAAAACAAAAGATAAACATTGGGGTAAAAAAAAAAGAGAATTGCACGAAGTTTAATCAAATTTGTCGATACTATCGTGCAATTATCAAAGTTATCAAACGTGACAAATAGTGCCAGATCGACATGAGTGTATATATAAATTTCAAATGCATCTTGTGAATCTAGCAACTAAATCACAGTATCGATCAACAATTTCATGACGCCGACCTGAGGATTTGTGCAAGATAATTACAATATTACCTCTTATACACCTTGCATGTGTAGATTTTGAGTATAATGATTAGCTCCGTTAAAAAAATCGTCATAAAGAAATAAGTTCTAACATACTATTTCAACTGAGATACGAAACTTTATAGTTTAGAACAGATGGTATAATACTTTTTAATAAGAATAGCAGTACCGTATTTGAAGAGCTGCCAACGCCAATTTAGGATTTGGCAATTGCAAAAGCGTAGCGTAGCTAGTAAATGAAATATTTCCGACGGTCAAATCCAAAATTGATTGTGGCAACTTTTTAAATACGATACTATTATTCGTACTCTAATGATTTACTCGTAACATTTTTCAAAAACAATATTAGAAATATTGTAGACACGTCAACTGTGATTGCGCAATGTCGAGACAATGACACTGACTGTCAACTGTATGAACATCTACAGATGTCATTCGATACATGACACATCGTATCGGTCAACCAATTGCCTAATTTTGATGTCTTGTCATTAATATTTAGATATGAGCCAAGGATGTACTCTATTATTTAAATTCTTTTTGTCAAAAATTGAATAATTTAACTACTTTATCAAAATAAGGAGATGTGGCATGATTGCCAATGAGACAACTATCCACCAAAGTTCAAATGAAGTGGATTACAGGGGTCAAATATTGGATCTTATCATACATCCTCCTTTATGGTCAAATCTAAAAGTTAACGTCAAAATCAAATAATCCAAGTAGATATATATTTCTTTCTCTGAACGTGAACATTCATTAAAAGGGTGTGTATTTACTACTATCTTGGAATAATTTAATTTTGGATGTAACGCGTCTTCTGATTGGCTGACGTTGTTTTGTTTATCAGCTCATAGACATAATTTTGTCATGTGACCGTGACGTCATCAACGTTTTTTCATGGTTTACTCAGGTTTAAAATGGAATTTAGAATTAAATTATAAGAAATGACTGTAATATTTTTTCTGTCTATTCAAAATAACATAAAAAATGTGGTGCACACTTTAAAATAACCCGCTACGCGGGTTATTCAGTGTGCACAACATTTTTGATGTTATGTCTTCATAGACAGAAAAAATATTACAGTCATTCCTTAAATATACCAAGAAAGAATCAACAACAAAATACATAGCCGTTTTAATTTTCTTTGTTAAAATAACAACGGCCATGATACAACATGTAAACAACGATAACACTAAATCAAGTATCAACATGAAATTGCCTAACCTCATTATACAATGGTACATAAAATAGGTCGCATAGATAACAAAGTTGCTTATATCAATATTTGAAATGATACTTTGTGGAATGTATGTCAAGCATTGTTTATTCACAGCAATTCAGCAGATTTTTGAAGTAATAAAAAAAATCATTACATTAAAAAAGTTGCTTACAATATAATTTAAGTAAATGTGTTATCAGTAAGTTTATTGATTCATGCAAAAACTGGCCATTGTATGCTTTGTTACCGTATTCTAAGGAAAAGTATTCTATTTCGTGATATATTTGTCATAATTCTGTTGAAATGTTGAAATTTGAGTGGAAATTTTCAATTAGAAGTATGGAGATCCCCTTATCTAAATATATATATAGTTATGGAAAATTCCAATCAGAAGAATGGAGTTCCCCATCTCTAAATATAGATATAGTTATAGAAAGGAGACAAGTTTGGTAATTGCGGGTTATTGTATCATCACACGTCAGAATACAAAACTTATTTCTATTTAAAACATGGTGGGCGCATGCGAATTATCGTTTTGCATAAAGAGATGAGAGTTTTGTATCAAAATAAATTTGAAAAAAAAGCGGGGGAAAAGTAATTCAAATGAAAACAAATTACATTCTTAGTGAAAACAAAAATAAATTGAGTTGATTCGTGGTAGATTTTTTTAAATACTTTTACGCTACATTGTATATGTCTTTCTCTAATATTAGAAACAGTATGAAGACCTGTAGATTTGTTATTATTCAAGTTTTCAACGCAGTTAATTTAGTTCATGTTGTTACACAATGAAACCTTGTATATATATGACAGATTTCTGCATTGATCTGAGTTCATTACTCTCAAAATAAATTGACACTGGGATATACTACAAGGAAACATACTTTAGGTCTCTGAACAGCGGTGTTTTAAACAAATAGAAACAGTTTGCGCTAAAGTTGAAATGATCGCTTACTCTTTAACATCATCAAGTAGTGATTGATGTAGATGTTTATATGGGTGCTTATAATCACGTTTTTAAGATTGCTTACCCATTTGCAATACCTGAATTTACTCCCGGCTCTGTTTCATATCGGTCAATTTTTAGTTTTCCCCTGTAAAGTTTTATAGACTTTTGTTCTTCTCATCGTTTTAGTCTTTTTGGAGAAGACAATTGTCGATCCATAGTCGACTCTTTTATAATTTTATTTACTGTGCAGTGTCACAAATTAAACACTGAATTCCGGGTCATGACAACAACGAAAGTGGTAAAAAAGTATCTTTTCATTATTAAAATCAAC